TGTGTGTCATTGTGGCTGGTTGTGTGATCGCACAGTGGTTAGTATCTTTAATGTTGGAGGCAGTTTAATTACACCAAGTAAAATCCCTTTGACACACACGCACACACACATATACACACACTCTCTCTCAAGTAGCAGCTGATAATTAGAGTCTTGCATTTCCCCCCCCCCCCCCCCCCCCCTCTCTCTCTTTCTCTCTTGGACTCGTTTGCCAATGTGTGCCAGGCAAGCAGATTGCATGAGATTAAGGCCTGGAATCTGCAGGAGAAAAAAAAAGGAAAACCTCAAAAATAAATAAATATATAACTGAGTGGAAGTGATTAATTAAAAATGAATGCACTGAGCGAGTGAAAGGGGGAGAAAGGAGAGAGATAGAGAGAGAGGCAGGCTTTATTGAGCTGGAGAGGCAGAGGAGCGCTCGCTGAGGAGCGAGGTGGGTGGAGGAGAGAAAGAAAGAGAAAGCGGAGTTGGAAGTGTTTTTCCTTTTACGCTCTGACTCGCCGCCGTGCTCATGCAAGACGGAGGGGTACAGAGGGGGAAAGGCGTGATGTTGTAGTGTTCGACCACGTGTGCAGCTGTCTCCTCCGCTGCTGTGATGGAAGACATTTGTAGGCTTTGCTCTCGCTAAGGTTTGTGCTACTGCTATGTTACTGTATGGATATGTAATGGTAGTATTTCTTGATTGATCAAAGCCTCCTGACCACGTGTTGTGTTCATGGATATTGATTAGGGTATTGTTTTTGGTACTGCCATTATTCTTTGTTCTCTACTACTATTGTTATTTTCTACAGATGTATAGGTGTCTGTTCTTTTATCTCCCTACAGTTTATGTTTGATGTTTGACAGTCTTGTTACAGAGCAGATGGACGGTTTATTGTGTCCAGGCTCTACCATTAATCTAGGCTGCACACTAAAGAAAATATATCTTCTTACTTCTGCTGGTATCTATTTAGCTAGTTTGGGTGTTTTTGTATCTGTTAGTCTCAGCAACACAATTGAGGTGAATTAAATCGAAATGATTGGTTTATTATAATTATAGCCTAGAAAATGCGTTATTTTGTGTATTTGTACTTATCCTTAAAAAAAACTACATTATTCAGAATATTTCAAACTGTTCACAATGTACAATTTATTTGGAAATATTTTCTGGTAAAGAAAATGCCGGTTACAATTTGTTGCTGTTATTTGGCTTATAGCTAGCTAGCCACTAACGACACTTGACAGAACCCACCTGTATCCCTTAACTCATACACGTTAATATAATTAAACAGGGTAATAATTATTTAAAAAGTACTGCTGTGCAATTGTCATGATTTGCGTTTTAGCAAGGCCAAATTAGAAAGAAAAAAACTATTTTTTGCACCAGGCTGTAAAGTGGAGCATTTTAACATGATCGTTTTGGAGCCAGCCTCAAGTGGCCATTTCCGGAACTGCAGTTGATGGCGCTTCGCCGCTTCATTAAAACATGCAAATGAAATGCAAAACTATGAAAGAATCAAGACCTTTTTTGTAAAGAAAACAAAAGCCTGATTCAAATTATTTAAGTCAGCCTTAAGCAAAAATGTTTTAGACTCAAAAATCTTTATATTTTTGTTTGTTTCTTATTACAGTAAAGGAATATATTTTAGCCATTGGTCAAAATAATTGTAATATAGACAGTTCCTTGGACTCTTTCAAAATTGCAATGAATATCATAAAATAAAATTTGGCACATGGCTGCCCTTCTCTCTCTCCTCCCCTTTTCCCCCCTTCTCTTGGCCTCATCTTAAATACATCCTCTATGCATATTTGATGCCTTATGCCCGCTTGTCAGTTGCTGTGTGAATGAAATAATGATGAGTAAAACATATTTAGGTTGGGTATCAGGCTGGAGTCCACAGAGTTGATTAATAAAGCTGCAGAAAGGATGCTGCTGCTTTTTACTGAGCTGATCCAAATCATGGTGGAAAGGTGAGGATGTCAGGCTTCTGATCCCTTGTGGTGTGTCTCCTCAGGGGCTGCACAGAGGAGTATGAGATGAAGACCATGGAGCAGAAGCCAGAACCTGAGCCTCTGGCAGCCGGCTACAGACCCTCCCCTCGCCCCACGTGGCGATGGGACAGCCCCCCCATTCCTCCAGGGCTCCACAGTGCCCCCAACCAGCAGCGCTGGGCCCCCATGGGCCCTCCACCTCCTCCACTGCCCCGCTCACACAAGACCCTGATGCCTGTTCCCTACAGGGAGCCCCAGCACCTAAACTCTAAGAGGTGAGACTCAGAATGACGGTGCACAATATATTTAGTATCATTAGATTACTTAAAAGACCCAATTGGGTTATTTTGTATTTGCTGTGAAATCCTTTTGGGGGCAATGTGATAAAGGAGAAAGGCAGAAAATCTGTTGAAAGAGATTAGGAACTTGGTGTGGCAGCATCAATATCTTTAATTAATTTATCTGGGTGATCCTCTAAAACTAAATATTTAAGAATTTAAACTCTGCTTAGTTAAGGTGTTGTCCACTTTGATTGACAGGCAGGTGGCTTGCCGCTAGCTGTCTGCTCTGTAGCATTTTATAACTCAATCTAGCAAAATAGCTTCTTGTGTTCTAGTATCATCCTCCCCTCTCTGTGGTCTCTCTGTTGTTCTGTTGGTTACCGTCTCCCCCTCTCTCTCCCCCCCTCTCTCTCTCCTGCAGGCCAGTGAGCTACCCAGAGAACCACTACAGCCTGTCTCCTGCAGGGATGCTGCCCTACAGGAACCCCTCAGCCAGCTTCTCCTCTCCCTCCTCCGGCCTGGTCGGCCTCTCCTCGATGGGGCCGCCTGGAATCACACCGGGCCCCTTCGTACGCTACAAACCCTCCCCCGACAGGTGTGTGTGGCCTTTTGTTTTCAGACCTCCCTGCCGTTACTCCTGTAATCTTGACTAAACATGTCCGATATTACTCATTACAACAGTTGTGTGTGCTTAGGGGCGGATTATCTGTGTTCATGAGATGAGGCAGAGTAATGTGTTCAGATCTGCAGTTAGACGTGTACGAACACACTGTCTCCCTGAGGAAGGATCTGTTGTGTGGGCGGCTCTTCCTCAATGTGTGGAGGCTGGTAACATCTCACCCAACCGGAGAAATGTGTTTTATTCAACTGCCATCAGGATGCAAAACAGAAACTGAAATTCAAATCCAAGCTCTACATTTTAAGGGCTTTCTTAAGAGAATAATTGTAGTGTGTTTTAGTTTCAGTTAGGAACATATTTCCTTCCGTCTGTGTGCGTGCGTAAAGTCAGGACATAATCTAATCTAATTAACTCACATTTTTCAGTAGTTGCATGTAAATCATATTAGTATTTATGTGTTTATTAATCAAATGCCGTCCCTCCTCTTATGATCCTATATAATGTGTAGATATGGAGCAGGACAACGCCCCCTGCTGCCGTATGAGCCTCACCTCAGTGTGGACGTCACCTCCAGCGGAGAGTCTTCCTCAGGCTTCACCAGTCAGGAGAGCACTATGGAGCGCTGCAAAACAGGTACGCCACCAAAAACTAACAGCAGACAGGAAAGCTGACTAGCTGGTTGACATAGTGAAGAAGATATTTTTTAGGAGTTGGTAGAGACCAAAAACTGAGCTAGAAGAGATTGAATCATTTTAGACTTGCATTCATCAGGTGGCCAAAACAAGACTACTAATCACTGATAAAGTTGCTCCAAATTTTCTGGCAACTGTTGGCTGTGGCCAAGAAATGTAAACACAGTTTGTAAGTTAATCATACTTAACTTTAACTACATTTATTGTGCGTTTAATCTTTGCAAATGAATTACACTCACTTGTATGTGGGATGGTGACATGGTGACAATAGAAAGTAAAAGCAAATGTACTTAAGAGGTGTTGGATTATTTGTATACACTATATCAAAGTGCATTACCAAGATATCTGTATTCAATTGTTTAAATATTATTGTTATCAGTACACAGAGTAGATAATCGAGTAGAGATGACGGTGTGATTGGGTGTGTTGGTGGTCAGTGTTTAAATGTGCTATAAGTATTTAATCCTCTTATCCAACCATGGCGGTTCAGTGTCATTTGCTTTAATCCTCTGAGTGTCTGTGTGTTTCTGTCTAGAGCCCCTCTGGCACATCCCAGCGTCGTCGTCTCGGGGGCCGGGTGGTGGAGGGGGGCAGAGGAGACCGACCAGACAGGATGTCCCGGGGAAGGACTCTCCAAACAGAAACTCCAAGGTCAGACTCGTCACCTCCCGCTCTCATTTCTTCTCTCCTTGCCTGCCTGAGTGTCTCTGAATGTTTCTCTCTTGTCCTCTACAGGGCGAGACTCAGTACTCGAGCCACTCCAGCAGCAACACTCTGTCCAGCAACGCCTCCAGCGGACACAGCGACGAGCGCTGGTTCGACGGGGGACCTGCAGGTGAACGGGTTCCTGGGGGTTGCCTTGGCGACCCAACAGAACCTGACCCAGACCATCTCAACAAGGGGGGGTCCAACGACAGCGGCATCGACGCCTCGACCCATTACAACAACACTCGCCTCGTAAACATGCCCAACAGCCACAAGCCCCTGCAGTGCTTCGGGACGTACGGGGGGGGGCAGGAGCTGTCGGTGGGGAGGAGTAGCGGCAGCAGCGGGGAGGGGAGGAGGCGGGAGTCGTCTCCCATCATACCAGCTGCAGCCAATCAGAACAAAGGGTACCGGACCAGGACGTTCCCGCCTCCTGGATCCAGCGCTGAAAACATGGATGCTTTCAAACCCAGGTGAGACGCCGACTCTGATGTGATGCATCTTTTATGGCATTTTTCTAACATGATACCTTAACCTTTAATGCTGTTCATCTCAATTGAGAGTGTGAGTATTTAGCTTTAAGAATTAAATGAATGAAGCAGCCATTATGTGCCACCACAATAGTATGACGACTCTATCTTTAAAGGGTACATTAAGGATGTAAAGCAGGTTAAACCTGGTACAGCTGCATCATGTGATCCCTTCTGCTCTTCCTTCCCCGAACATTATAACTGCATGCAGACATAAGACACGCGTTCAAAGGCTTCGTCCTCTCTGTGTTGGATTAAAACCCTCTGTGTTTAAAGCCTCAGTACAACCGACTCTGATGCTGCAGTCTGTGCCTGGGATGTTTTGAAACATCAACAAAATATAGATATTAAGTAAAAACAGAAGGACACTGATGATTCATCGCAGGTATTGTGAACAATTTCACAGATGGTGTTGATGTTTTGTTTTGGTCAGAAGGTTTCAAAAGAAAGACTGCTTTCTAAATGATGAATAATTCAGTTGGGTAATTTAGCAGTTTTTTTTTTTTAAATGTTGTTTGTGTGTTTTTAAATGGTGAATAATTGGTTTGATGGATAAAAGACACGTCTGGTCGCTTGATGGATGATGGAAGTTCCTAACTCTTCTGATGTTTTCCTCAGCTGTTACCGGTCAATAGCTGTGTGATGCTGTTGTTAAGCAGACAGTGCTACCTCAACTTTAATTGCACACTCTGTCTTTATTGCCGGATCAATAAAGAGGGGGAAAGGACGATGCTACGAGAATTAATTATGCTTATGGGGAAAGGCAGAAGAGAGCAGAAAAGTCAAACTTAATATCGTTTTTTTTCATCCTTTTTTAAATGATATGTGTATGTCAGCCTTACATGCCAGAGGATCACATGATTGTTACAAAGGTCTTTATAAAGGAAGAGTTTAGGTCTTGTGATCGAGAGTTGAATGAGGAGATCAACATGGTCAGCTGAGCTTAGCATTAAGTCTGGAAACAGGGAAACGCTTACCTTGTAAAATGCATTATTTAAACAATGGAGTTATATCTTCTGTGAAGAAAATGTTTTTCCCTGCACAATCATTTCTGTGATCTGATTATCTTATTTTAAATTGAAAATGTTCTTTAAATAAAAATGCTTCATCACTTCATAAAAAACTGAAAAGGCTTTCCCTCTAGTACTACACTTGGTGCACATGTCAAATCCTTTGTGTCCTCTCACTTCCTATTTAGCACTTGTCTCATCTATTTAAAAAAAGAGAGAGAGCAGTTTGTTGTTGATTGTGATGCATTAACCCGGTGTACACCTGTGTGTCCTCTCAGGGCCTACACACCGCAGGGTTACAAGACTCCGACAGCTGAGAAAGCCCGGCCCGTCCGCGCTGCTACGACGACACCAACTTCCTCTCATCTAAGCTCCATCCCTCTGTCCAGCTCCGCTCCAAAGGCTTTTTATGGAAAGAGCAGACAAAGTGCCTGGCTGAACGACAACAACGGCTCCTCGCCCTCAAACATCACCACGACGACCAGCTCTGACAGCAGCAAGAAGTAAGTTAGTGACTGAGAGCTTCAAAAGAGAACCTTTCCCTTTTCTGTTAAAGAGACTTTACCGAAAAGCTTCACAATGTAAATAATGATATTGACTACAAATTCTAATTCAACATTTGATCATACCAGATTATGGTATTGAGTGTCTTCAGTTCTAATTGAGCCTAAAACCAGCTACTGAAACATTGACCTGTTAACATTACGTTACATTACATTGCATTTAGCTGATGCTTTTATCCAAAGCGACTTACAATAAGTGCATTCGACCAACAAAATACAAACTTGAAGAAAACAGAATCATATAAGTACATCAGGTTTCATAGAGCCAAACATTTCAAGTGCTACTTAACTGGCTTTAGATAAGCCAGTCCTTTATTAGTATATAAGTGCTTTGTTAATAATTCTATCGCTCGAAGTGGAGTCGAAAGAGATGAGTTTTCAGTCTGCGCCATAAGGTGTGTAAGCTTTCTGCTGTCCTGATGTCAATGGGGAGCTCATTCCACCATTTTGGAGCCAGGATAGCAAACCCACGTGTTTTTGCTGATGGGAACTTGGGTCCCCCTCGCAGTGAGGGTGCAGCGAGCTGTTTGGCTGATGCAGAGCGGAGTGCACGTGCCGGGGTGTACGGTTTAACCATATCCTGGATGTAGGAAGGGCCAGATCCATTCGCAGCATGGTAAGCAAGTACCATTGTCTTGAAGTGGATTCTAGCAGTTACCGGAAGCCAGTGAAGGGAGCGGAGGAGCGGCGTGGTGTGGTGTGGGAGAATTTAGGAAGGTTGAAGACCAGACGAGCAGCTGCATTCTGGATGAGCTGCAGAGGTCGGATGGCACATGCAGGTAGACCAGCCAGGAGGGAGTTGCAGTAGTCTAGGCGTGAGATGACGAGAGCCTGAACCAGAACCTGCGTCGCTTTCTGGGTCAGTTGGGGACGTATCCTCCTGATGTTGTAAAGCGTGTATCTGCAGCAGCGGGTTGTAACAGCTATGTTTGCAGTGAAGGACAGTTTGTTATCTAGGATCTCAGATGCAGTCTGAGTCGGGGAAACAACTGAGGTGCCGATGTTGATTGTCAGGTCAAGAGTGGGACAATCTTTTCCCGGAAGGAAAAGCAGTTCAGTCTTGTCAAGGTTGAGCTTGAGGTGGTGAGCAGACATCCACTGAGAGATGTCAGCTAGACAAGCAGAGATGCGTGCGATGACCTGGGTCTCTGAGCGGGGAAAGGACTAAATTAATTGGGTGTCGTCAGCGTAGCAGTGGTATGAAAAACCATGCGGGCTAATGACTGATCCGAGCGAGTTTGTGTACATGGAGAAGAGGATGGGACCAAGAACAGAGCCCTGAGGGACCCCCGTAGTTAATTGACAAGAGTCAGACTCCGACCCTCTCCAAGTCACCCTGTAGGTACGGTCTTTGAGGTATGAGGTGATGAGGGAAAGTGCAGAGGCTGAAACTCCAAGTTCTTGGAGAGTGCGAAGGAGGATCTGATGATTCACTGTGTCGAATGCAGCAGACAGGTCCAAAAGGATGATGACAGAGGAGAGAGAGGCTGCTTTAGCCGTGTGCAGTTCCTCAGTGACAGCAAGGAGGGCAGTTTCTGTGGAGTGACCTGCCTTGAAACCAGACTGGTACGGATCCAGAAGGTTGTTCTGATGGAGATAACAGGAGAGTTGTTTAAAGACAGCGCGTTCAAGTGTTTTAGACAGGAACGGGAGGAGAGAGACAGGACTGTAGTTTTTAACATCAGACGGGTTGAGAGTGGGTTTCTTTAGGAGAGGGTTTACTCTTGCCTCCTTGAGACTGTTTGGAAAGTGACCAGAAGTTATAGAAGTGTTGATGAAATGGGTGAGAAACGGTAGAATATCAGGACCGATAGTCTGAAGGAGGTTTGAGGGGATAGGGTCCAGAGGACAGGTGGTAGGCCGGGCAGAGGTAATGAGGGTAAGAACCTCACTTGGAGAGAGAGGGGAGAAGGAGGTTAGTGTGTGGGTGGAAGGAGGGTCTGGTGATCCAGCGGTGAGTAAAGGTGAGTCAGAAAAAGAAGAGTGAATATCATCAACCTTTTTTTCAAAGTGGTTAACAAAGTCGCTTGACAGAAGTGAGGAGGGGGGAGGAGCTTTGGGGGGGTCCAAGAGGGTGGAGAAGATGGAAAATAGTTTTTTAGGATTGGAATAGGAAGATTGGATCTTATCTTGAAAGAAAGTGCTTTTTGCCTGAGAGATCGAAGCAGAGAAAGAGGAGAGGAGAGGAGAGCCTGATAGGTTAGGAGGTCGTCATGGTGTTTGGATTTCCACCGTTTCCGCTCTGCTGCCCGAAGGATGGTTCTATTAGCACGCAGTGCGTCATTTAGCCAGGGAGCAGGAGGGGACTGACGAGCCTGCCGAGATGTGAGAGGACAGAGAGAGTCCAGAGAGGATGAGAGAGGAGAGTTTCTGCAGCAGAGTTTGGAGGCAGGAGTTGGAACGAGTCAGAGGAAGGGAGGGCTGAGAGAACCGATGAGGCAAAGGTAGAGGGGGAGAGGGAACGAAGGTTACGGCGGACAGGTGCAGGATGAGAAGAGATTAGTTCGTTATGTTTGGAAAGGGGTAGAGAGAATGAAATGAAGAAGTGATCGGATGTGTGGAGCGGGTTTACAGAGAGGTTAGAAGTAGAGCAGTTCCTTGAGAATATGAGCTCAAGGACATTGCCAGCTTTATGAGTTGGTGGGGATGGAGACAGTGAGAAAGCAAAGGCGGTTAACAGAGATGTTAGTTCGTCTATCTTCCCTGTCTGGAGGTTGAAGTCTCCGAGAAGTACAGCGGGAGGACCAGTTTCAGGGATGTGTGAGAGGAGATTATCTAATTCCTCCAAGAAGTCCCCCAAGGCGCCTGGTGGACGGTAGATGTTGGGAGAAGATACCCTTTGTGTTTTTGGTTCTCATGCCTCTTGTCTCGTGTCTTCAGGCAGGTGGACACCAACTCAAAGAACGTGTTTGGACAGCCTCGGCTCCGAGCCTCGCTGAGGGACCTGCGTTCTCCACGACGGACGTACAAAAGCACCATCGAAGACGACCTGAAGAAACTGATCATCATGGACAACGTGGGGGAGACGCCCCAAAGAGACCCAGTGAGGAACACACCAACACCTCACAGTTAGATCAGTAATGCTTTAGTTTGCTTGAACAATTATATCGTCCACAAAGTACAAATTCCCCCATCAATATGAGTTTACAAATAAGTAAAACATTGGGAGGGCTTGAAGTTGAATCATGCCATTATATACAGTCCAACAGGCTTATGACACAAAGTACTAATGTGCAAATTAAGCAACTATGGGATGTTGCGTCGCCCTGTATGATTAACTTTGTATTTAATAGATATGCACTATGGACGAATACATTATTGAAGATTTATGGGAGTCTCAAGCGCCCTCCTGAGGGAAGCAGTTCAAATTGAAATGTGACATAGTTATATGCATATATTTGATGTGATCTGTAAGCGCACGTTACTTTGATGAGCTTGCACACGCTCTGATCTCCGTCACTTTTCCTCCTTTCAGTCTCCCAGACGAACTCTGCAGCGCACCTTTTCAGACGAGTCTCTGTGCAGCGGGCGCAGAGAGGCGAGCTTCGCTAACTCTGAGAACCCGACAACGCCTAACGACGTCCTGTTCACGTGCACGCTGCCCACACGCAAACACGCCGTCTCTAACGTCCACGTGCAGAGCAAGAAGGGTGAGTTTAAACAGAGTGGACAAAACCTACTCTGCTGTGTTGAGTATAAGCTGCCAAGTTTCATTCTGCGGCGATACAAGGAGCTTAATAGTGAAAACAATCCTATTATGATTGTTATGTACACTTTATTTGTTGCTTACATAAGCTCCACTACCTTTCAGTATGTCCTTGTTTCATGAGGAGGTTATTTGACTCACTGCAGCTGTTCTCCCCTCAGTGCCTCTGTCTGCCTCGGAGCTGTCTCTCACTGAAGTAAGAGACAAAGTGCCCCCCCTGAGGAGGCTGGACCCCGGGCTGATGCCTCTCCCTGACACAGCCTGCGGCCTCGAGTGGTCCAGCCTGGTTAACGCTGCTAAGTTGTACGAAGGTGAGGCAGCAGACACCTCAAGACTAGGTTTGTTCAACTCACAAAAGCATCCATTCACATCACACACAAACTGTAATATGCACAACAAAACATTACACATGCAGAGAAATCATGGAAATCAGAAATGTCAAAAAGAATCATTAAAACCTGTATGTACAATTCATGTATGGTTTTATTGCTGAATTAAACAAATCAAAATCTCCACAAATTATGAATGCTCAGTTCTAACCATGGTTTTGCAAGAAAAAAAATGGGATTCATTAATATATTTAAGAATCATAAAACTCACTGTTGGATGTGGGACATTGGATTTTGTCTTCTGTCACATGACACTCCTGGGAAAGAAAGAAATGTCAGTACGATGGTCTTAACCTTGTAGACGATCTCTCTCTCTCCGTCCCAGCCACTGTTTGTTTCTGTCTCTCTCTCCTGTCCCTGGTGTGCTCTGCATTCACAAAGCCCTGACAAACACACTAAACTCAAGCCAACACTCGATCCTAAACCTCACCTGCTGCCAGGAGCTGTGATTGTGTCTTGTACCCCGAGGGAAACCTGGGGAAAAAAGCCTCTTCAATGCAGCTTTTTACAAAGTGTGGTTCTATGTCTGTTGCAGCACAAAGAGCAGTTTCCCTCTTCTCACTGACGGAGCCGCAGGGTGGGGGTCCGGACATGAGACCCGTCGTCAGTCCAGTCCAGTTTCAGACTCCTCAGACTCCACGGACCACGCCGACCTTCAGCGGGTAACTGAACCTCACTTTGTTGTAGATACGAACAGCCAGAGAGACTGTGTGTCTCTGCTGCCACCTGGTGGTAATCTACTGTCAGGCTTTGAACTGAATCCCCAGCTTGTTGACTCCTCTGTATTTCACTAGAGTAAACACTTGTGTGTGTGTGTGTGTGTGTGTGTGTGTGTGTGTGTGTGTGTGTGTGTGTGTGTGTGTGTGTGTGTGTGTGTGTGTGTGTGTGTGTGTGTGTGTGTGTGTGTGTGTGTGTGTGTGTGTGTGTGTGTGTGTGTGTGTGTGTGTGTGTGTGTGTGTGGTGTGTGTGTGTGTGTGTGTGTGTTGTGTGTGGTGTGTGTGTGTGTGTGTGTGTGTGTGTGTGTGTGTGTGTGTGTGTGTGTGTGTGTGTGTGTGTGTGTGTGTGTGTGTGTGTGTGTGTGTGTGTGTGTGTGTGTCGTACCATTGAGCAGCACTTAGTATAAGAGCTACAGTTCAAACAGACTTACACAAGAATGAATGCACATTCACAAACACCTGAAAAACCTGTCCTCCTACATTACGTCTGCACACTGTTTTTATTCTTAGTGTGTGCCGTTGTTTAGTCATCTGTTCTGTGCTTTGTTTACAGTGACGAGGTGCCCAACGATCTGTCCGGGCGGCTCTACAACCTGGAAGTGATGTTAAAGCAGCTGAACAATGATCTGGAAAGAGTGAGACTCTTCTTTTCACATTTTTGCTTTATCAAAGAGTTGGAAGAAGAAAATAATGTATTAGTTTGTCTGTCTCACACTGTAATGTATCTGGGTTTGGAACTGAGCTTAAAAGGCACAATCATTTTGGACTTTAAAAAACTGGGATGTTCTTTTTTTCATCTATTTCTGACATTGTGCAGACCAAATGATTCATGATGAATAACTAACCCTTTAATAACAGTGCATTTCTAGTCCGAGTCATCGTTTCTCATCTCCTTTTCTCATGTCTTGTTGCCTCAGGAGAAGCATGATAAAGTGGTTCTGCTGGCAGAGATGGCCAACCTGCGGGAGAACAACCAGCGGCTGCAGGTGGAGAGCCTGTCGGCCAGCGAGCAGCTGCGCAAGTTCAGCAGACTTTATAATAACAACGACACGACCGAGAGCGACAACGAGGCTAACTCCTTATTGTACGAGGCTGAATCTAAGAGGGAGTGACTCCTGCAGGAGGGGGAAAAGAGCACCCGGCCACAGAGGGGAGGGGAGGGGGGGGTGCTTCCACTGGACTGCCTTAAACCGTAAAGAGAGCAAGGAAACAGAAAAACTGGATTTTTTTAAATGCAGAACCACTCCCAGAGAGCCTCCCTCTCTTTTCTCTGAGCCTGTTTATTTTTATAAACTCAAGTCAAAAAGTCTTATATACTTTTCATATATATAAATATGCTACTATGCCAGAGGAGCGAGAAGGAGAGGAAACTGTTTTAGAGAATCATCACCTGGAGAGGCCTAATACTGTTCCTGCAGCGAATCAGCCAAAAAAACAACAAGACTCATTACAGACTGCATCTCCCAGAATGCACTAGAAGTAATGGAAGCTCTACAGACATTGTACTGTAGATACATGCCTGTTCTCATGTATCAATATTACCCATATTGTACTGATATTGATGTACTAAAGAGGGGTGGGTGAGTGTGTGTAACTGATGGTACAGCGAATTCTCAGAAACGTAATGGCACAACAGTGTTTGTGCTCACGAAGCATTTTATTCCCCTCTGGTGTGTGTGTGTGTGTGTGTGTGTGTGTGTGTGTGTGTGTGTGTGTGTGCGCAAGCGTACGTGTGTGTGCGCGAGCGTGCATGTGTGAGCGTGTGTGTGAGCGTGTGCTATGGGACGTTTCGAGTGCTGAACAAACTAGTTTACTATAATATGAAATCTTGTGGGCCACGATATTTTTCTCTCCTCCGTTTACATGGATGAACCTGTGGCCCTTCAGATGTGAAACAAGCCATCGGCGTGCTGTGTGGGTGTTAAAGGTCGATGTCATGAAGCTCAGTGATATTAATTATAGTTCCATATCTCTAATGTAGTGCATTGTTTTGAATATTATCTTCTGTTTTTCAGCAGTGCCGTTTCATCTCAAATCTAAATGGACTGGATAATTATTTTAACCTTGAGTCCTCATCCCAGTACGTCTTTGAAATCAACTTTGTTTCCTAATATTTAAAGCAGTAGTTTGACATTTTGTAGTAGCATCATTAGAGGTTTTAGTTTTATCATAAAGATCTCATACAGGGGAGAACAGCCAGCTTGACGGCCCACATGCACCTCTAAAGCTCATTACTTAACTCTGTCAAAGCGTCTTTGAGTTTCATGAAAAGCGCTATAAAAGTCCCATGTATTATTATTATTATGATATCTAAATAATCTAATACCCAAAAAAAAACTATTTAAAGGGACAAATCCTCGTCTAATGGACTATCTGTTGTGGCTAAGAGATTAGTTACTTCAAGGAGTCTTAGCTGAATTTGATTCTTGCAATTGATATCCAAAAACAGACCTGCAATTACAGTTTCTTGGCCAAAAAGGGCAAAACATTTAGAAACATAGACTTAATGTGCTGAAAAGTCGACTTTGTAGACAAAGCCAGGCTAGCTGTTTCCCTCCTTTCCAGTCAGTATGCTAAGCTAACCTTGTAGGGTTGCATTTTTAACAGACAAATATGAGGGTGGTGTCAATCTCACTGCTAGAAAATGAGTGATGGTATTCTCCAAAATGTCAAACTATTCTTTACATACAACTCTAAACGACGCTGCCATTGGTCACGTGTGCTTACAGGAAACATTTACTGTACATGAACCCACAACACTTCTGCCTGTGTGCGAGGATTTGTCCCCGTGTTCTGTGATGACCCAAGTGAACACATGAGACACTATTTATACCGCTCGCTTGCTTACCGATATTGTCTACTATATCTATTTTTCATACAGAAATAATGTTTTTGAACGCTGGTACTGAATGGACAATACATCCGTGCAGAGGATGACTCTTCCTCTGTCAGTTTTGATATCGCTGACGAATCATCTGCTACTTCTTATGATCCGGAGGTCTCTTCTTCTCTGGTCTGACTGGAACTGTAAATCCTAATCGCTCAGGTTCCTCACAACGCTTTGAATAAACTAAACCATCAGTTAGGAGTGGGCGATGTGACACATTCAAGCCTGAGAGGATGTCAAAATGGGTTTTGCCAAAATGTTAAAACCATTGTAGTGATAAGGTCATTGTAAGGAACGTTTATTGATGTAATACTTTGTTCAGAGGCATTTCATCTGCTGAATTAGGCTTGAACAGAAAAATATAAACAGTTTCTCAATTGATCTTCATATAAAATGTAAGTCCTGAAAGGCAAGTGAGAGAACTAAATCTGGTGATCCATTTTCTAAATTTGATCTTAACTGTTTTCTGACTTAAAAGCAGGTGAAGAAACGTTTATTTGATCTGTGAAACAAGGGGGTTTATCTAGATAAATGTCCCTTTTTTCCATCTGTTAAAACTGTCATAAACACAGAAGGGAAAACTATTTATATCAGTCTTACAAATTGGATCAATAGATTCCTTTCTGGAGCGATGTGTCACATTCCTTTTGGAGGGCAGAAAGCACAGCTGATACCTGTGTATTGATACTGCTGACAATAACTATAGAAACGTTTTAAAATCTAGTATTGATTTACAGTATAACACACTTCCATGATTTTGGCCACACTATCGCTCACTTCTACTGGAAAACTATTTTATTTCACAGACTCAAGAGGGAACATGTGCTGTAGTCGGACTCATTTCCTTCTGCTTTCAGCTCCTTTACTCCTCTGCAGTTATTCAGATTTGATACGAGTAACTTTTTTAAATTGTTGGACCTTTTTGCGTCGGTTCCGGAATAATACCTTGACCAGTTTCTCTGAAATAAATGTTCAGATCCTCCAGAGAGAAAGCTCCTCTTCTTGTCGTGACGCTCTCCTGCTCCTCGCTGTGACGGTCTTATTAGTTTGCTTACAAGGGCCAAGGTTTCTTTTTTTAATCTAAAGTTTGTTCATGTTCTGTATAATTTGAAGCTATTTAAAGCACACACAACGATCCTTATTGAACAAATCAATAATGCATTACGGTCAATGGTAATATTATAACTAGGTTTGTTTTTTTTAGATGTTAAATATTTTGATAATTTATTTTTTAACACATTCCCACTGTTGCAAACAGTAGTGAAGATGAGAGGGTACTGTGTTTTTATTTGTGTATGCCGTTTGACTTCTGATCTCTGTACAAAATTGATCTGTATGATTCCTCGTCGTTTTATTTTCTGGCATTTCCCTGTTTGTGGCAGGCTGCGTGATGCAGACGACATATTGGTTGGAAATTGTTTTTCTTTGGGTTGTAATAATAACTTGTACATTTAAAAGTGTAAATTATGTTTTCATTATTTTATAAAAAATATATTAAAAATAATTATCAGAACGTGTGATTTCCTTTAAATGTTAGGACAAGTGTTCCATATCCGATATCCCTGCCAAGTTACACAAGTGGTACTAAACCAGTTCAACAGCTGACCGCAAATAATTAGCTTTGTTCAGTGTACAGAACACCAGACATACCAAAACGCACTGAGTTCATTCTATGATAAAAAAATAAGTGTTTAGCACTCTACTTAGATTTCATACATTTCCAAACACCAGAGAAAAATAAAAGGTTTAATTGAAGTCCAAACATGCAACTATTTGAGTTGACATTCTGAATACAAGTATTTTTTAGCTCATTCACAATGAATCTTTGGCCATTAGAAGTAAAGGCTCAATATTTGCTCCTCATGGCAACATGTTTTCGACCCACATGTCCTACCTTTCTTTATGCTAGTTATGTGTTTTAGCTTAAATGTTTTTAGTTTTCTCCCCACCAGCTCACAGGAACAGGATGAAACAACTTGCATGTAAAACATTTTTATTACAAATTAATTTCGAGTTCCAACATAAAATAAAACATATTGTAGTTAATATTGGACATAAAGCGAGTCGACAAAACACTTATTCAATAAAATATTTTCTATACATTCTGACAGTGTGTTCAGAGATAATTGCTCAAGTTTCTGGAGTAGTTACAGGTGTATAACATCAGGACTGTGAGGCGTTCAGGACCCACACATCAGGCAGTCGTCTCTGTTCTCCAGAGAGCACACCATGGCAGCGAGGTTAAGCTCCTTCACCTCCTCCGAGTCCTTCTGGGACTCCTTCAGCTGCTCCTTGTTCAGCGTGAACTGGATGGGGTTGGCAGCCGGCTTCGTCCTCAGGTAGTACATCCCTGTCTTCAGACCCTGAGAGGAAGAGGAGGGTTTAACACATTTTGTTGCATTCATAGTAATAACTTATCTTCTACTTTCAGCTCCCTTACTTGTTTCCAGCCGTAGAAATGCATGCTGGTCAGCTTGCCGTAGTTCGGCTCAGCGATGTGGATGTTCAGGGACTGGCTCTGGTCGATGAAGGCGCCGCGGTCGGCAGCCATCTTGAGTATGGTCTTCTGCGAGATTTCCCAAACGGTTTTGTACAGCTGCTTGATGTCATCTGGAATCCCATCAATGTCCTGTTGGGAGAAAACAAACAATCGTCAGAACAAATTAAGAGCGGAAACAGATTGACAGCAGCAGCTTTATTGATCAAATGACAGTCAACAGTTTTTACTAAAAGTAAAAAAACCTCAAAGCTTTACCAAAAAGAAAAAGCAGCAGAGTGATCATACCACTCAAACAAAGTAATTAAATCAATATCTTGACAAAACGAAGCATTTTCCATGATGTGGATGAGTACCTGAATGGAGCCGTTGTGCCCGATCAGCTGGTTCTTCATCTCCTCGCTCCACAGCCCCTTCTCCGTCAGGTCTTTGAGCAGGTGGGGATTAACGATCTGGAACTCTCCGGAGAGCACCCTGCGGGTGTAGATGTTGCTGGTGTAGGGCTCGATGGACTCATTGTTGCCCAGGATCTGAGCGGTGGAGGCGGTGGGCATGGGGGCTAGCAGCAGGCTGTTCCGAATGCCGTGCTTGGCGATCTTCTCCTTCAGCAGCTTCCAGTCCAGCAGGTCGGTGGGGGTCTTGTCCCACATGTCGTACTGCAGGATGCCTTTGCTGACGGGGCAGCCCTCGTACGTCTCGTAGGGGCCGTGCTCAGCGGCCGCCTCGCAGCTCGCCTCCAGGGCGGCGTAGTAAATGGTCTCAAAGATCTGGATGTTGAGCAACTGAGCCTCGGGGCTTTCAAACGGGAAACGCATGAGGATGAAGGCGTCGGCGAGACCCTGTACGCCAATTCCAATCGGCCGGTGGCGCTTGTTGGATTTCTCCGCCTCAGGCACGGGATAGAAGTTAATTTCGATGATCTTGTTCAAGTTCTTCACGATCACTTTGGTGACTTGTTCTAGTTTTTTAAAGTCAAATGTCTTCTCAGGGGTGACGTACATGTTGAGAGCGATGGATGCCAGATTGCAGACGGCCACCTCGTCGTGGCTGGTGTATTCGATGATTTCTGTGCACAGGTTGCTGGACTTGATGGTGCCCAGGTTCTGGTGGTTGGTCTTCCTGTTGCAGGCGTCTTTGTACAGCATGTACGGCGTGCCCGTTTCGGTCTGGGACTCAATAATGGCGTGCCACACCTGTTGAGCCTTCACCACACGCTTCACCCGCCCCTCCTTCTCAAACGAGGTGTAGAGCTTCTCAAACTCCTCCCCCCAGCACTCATCCAGCCCGGGGCACTCGCTGGGACACATCAGGGACCAGTCCTGGTTGCTCTCCACCCTCTTCATGAACAGGTCGGGGATCCACAGGCCGTAGAAAAGGTCTCTGGCTCTCTGCTCTTCCGTTCCCGTGTTTTTCTTCAGCTCCAGGAAGTCAAACACGTCAAAGTGCCAGGGCTCCAGGTACATGGCGAAGGCTCCAGGTCTCTTGTTGCCGCCCTGATCGACATAACGCGCTGTGTTGTTGTAAACCCTCAGCATGGGGACGAGCCCGTTGGAGTTGCCGTTGGTGCCGGCGATGTAGCTCCCCGTTGATCTGATGTTGCTCACGGCCACTCCGATCCCTCCCGCTGATTTGGAGATGAGGGCGCATTGCTTCAGCGTGTCGTAAATGCCTTCGATACTGTCATCCTTCATGGCGAGCAGGAAGCAGCTGGACAGCTGAGGCCTGTTGGTGCCTGCGTTGAAGAGCGTCGGGGATGCGTGTGTGAACCACTTCTCCGACAGCAGGTTGTAGGTCTCGATGGCAGCGTCGATGTCCGCCCCGTGGATCCCCACAGACACTCTCATGAGCATGTGCTGCGGACGCTCCGCCACTTTGCCGTTGATCTTCAACAGGTAGGATCGCTCCAGAGTCTTGAAACCGAAGAAGTTGTAGGAGAAATCTCTGTCGAAGATGATGGCCGAGTTGAGGCGGTCTTTGTTCGCGAGGACGAGGTCAAGCGTCATCTTGGAGATCATGGGAGAGTGGCGTTTATTTAATGGGTTGACGTAGTTGTACAGGTCCTCCATCACTTCACTAAACACCTTCTTCGTCTCTTTGTGCAGGTTAGAGACTGCGATACGTGCGGCCAGGATGGCGTAGTCGGGGTGTTTGGTTGTGAGGGTGGCGGTGATCTCAGCGGCCAGCGTGTCGAGCTCCACGGTGGTGACGCCGCTGTACAAACCCTGAATCACCTTCATCGTAATCTGGGTCGCATCCACAAAGTCAGAGTTCAGCCCGTAGCACAGCTTCTGGATTCGGGAGGTGATTTTATCGAACATGACGCGCTCCTGGCGTCCATCTGAAAAACGAGACAAATAAACACTTCAGTTAACACAATCCTCAATGTGTACAGACAGTTATCAAAATTATACAATAAGAGTAGAGATTTAACAGTAAACTGCCTTAATAAGAAATCATAATGAAGCCAGTAAGGTTGTTACATCAGTTTACTTTCTTTTAACAATACAATTAGAGTTGATGCACGTCATTTTATTGTTATATTATTAGATGTCTTCATCTTTTTTTAAACCTTTTCTCATTTCAACATATTTGTCTAAAATATCTTCTTGCATTTACTTCCTTTTAACACTTTCCTTTTCTGCATTACAAGCCACCCAGTGGAAAATTGATTTTGCAATAAGGAAAGCAAATAACCTCAATTAAAAAAAGGAGGTATACATTTAATTATATAATTAAGGAAATGTTAATTATTTATCAAATATGAACACGCCCATGGTCTAATTGAAACTGCCATTCCACAAGTCCAAAAATAATTTGCCAGAAATGAATTATCTAGGCTAGGGTAATCTTTGTGTGTATCCTTGCCTTGTTGTTAAATGATACAATATATAATTGTATCTGTTCCTTTAATTAAAACTGGCTCTGTATAAAGTCATGAAGCAAATTAGTTTGTGATTTTTACATTATCTGTGCAGTTTAACATCAACTAGTTGACAAAAAGCTACTTCTGCACGTTTTTAAAGTGAGTGTTTGTCAAATATAACTGCAGACAAACTCTTCCTGGTCTTCAGCCTACAATGTCTCGACCAGAGCCTCACTGGGACACAGTGACATGCAGGAAGGCCTGTTCAATTATATCTTTTGGCGCGAACTATGACAAAGGCTCATAGCAATAACACGCAGAAAGGCTAACATTTCACATTTAATTAGGCAATGCTCGTGTACACGGCTAACTGGTTATACATGTTAATTGTTAATTTGGCAGATGAGTTAGTCAGAACAATAAACCCTGTCTGTAGCCTGTTAGTGACAGTGGTTAACTAGAAAGCATGACTTAGTAAATTAACTTTAACCTAACCGCTTAACAGTGCTGCACTGACTCCAGCATGTCGTTTGAGTTTAGATAGTATGTTATATAAAAGAGTCAGAGAGAGGAAGCATAACATTGCATTAAGACTGGTAAATCCACATTATTATTGACAGAGCACTGAAGCTAACTGAGGCCTGATCCATAACAACACAAAACTGCTCACCTCGCTTAAGCACATGCATTCTGGCAAAGTGTGAAGTAACTCGTCCCCGAGAAAACAGCAGCTCTCTCCAGCAACTTGATCTTCTCCTTTTGTGTCAAAATGTGCGGAGGGACACTAACTCTATGTCCACACTCAGAGGAGAAAGCGCGATTAACTCGTGAAATATCCCGCTAACCGTGTATTTGTACGGAAGGCGTCGCCGCGAGAGTAGATGAACAGGCATTCTGACCAATCAGCATGGAGATATTGTGAGACTTCCTGTCTGAGAACCAATAGCAACAGGTTAGAATATCAGCTTCCTTTTCCGTTAAATTTCCCGGATTACATTGTGGCGGGATAGAGAAGTAGGTCATATAACCAACAGGTTTTGTTTTGTTCTGTTGTGACATGAACCAAGACCTCTAGTTATCATGTACTTAATACACAATAATGTATTGAATCTATGAATATTAGAAAAATAACTAAGAACATTTACTCAAGTATTGTACCTAAGTACACTTGTTCATGAAATTGTACTTTACTTTATAATCTCCATTTTATTCTACTTCATTAAAGTTAAACTTCACTACATCTCAGAGGGAACATTTGTGCACCCTATTTCTTAGTAGTTACCTAACATAAAACCATTCTTTAAATAAAGCACAAATGTGTTCTTCGGTGCAGTACTTTTGTAAATACAAAATGTACTTATGTGCTTTCATTTTAATTTTGTATTAAACTGAATCTTGAATGAATACAATTGACTAGTTCCTTCTACAGGTCAGTAGGTGGCGGTAGCTCGCCAAAATGCAGTTTGCCAACCATAATTAAAAACCTTAAAGAAGTCCTCCTTTGACAAGAGAACACAGGAACACAGAGGTTCCGCCATTAACATACTTTGTACGTTTTTGAATGGACTACTGCACCAGGAAAGTTATCACAAGTGTATTATATTATCTCTGTTTTTCAGTTATTTATCCTTATAGCTGTTAGTGGATACAAATAGGTTTAACACAGCAGAAAATAGTTTCTGCTTGCTACACAACCAAACAGATACCAATTTCTGTGTAGATTATACAAATATCCAGGTTGAATTTGCAGTAAAGCAGCTTTCAAAGACCGGGGCTGCTATGTAATGTAAAGCATGGATTTGTATGATGGAGTAGCACTGCAGACTGCTGCATCTGAAGCACCGGGCTGACAGACAGCCTGCTGCAGCTCCACTTCCTGTGTGGATATCCCTCCTACATGCTCCACAAGTCTGTTTGGACACGTCGCTGTTGAAGGACTCCCGTCTCGAAGCCTCCTCTCCCGTCATGTCCAGGTCCAGTCGGAAGTACAAGCCTCTGCAGCCGAGTAGCGGCTCCCTGCCCGGCTGTGACCGGCTGCGGATGCCCCGGGCCCGGGTCCTGCTGCTCTGCTTGCTCGGGGTCCTGGTGCTGGCGGTGGTTCTGGGGGTTTACCTGTCCAACGACACCAGCGATGGACCTGGGAACCGCATGCCAGCAGCTGCAGATCTGACCAAAGACAGGGTGAGAGACATTATGATAGATCTATAACACAGGCTTGTGGGACCTCAGTGTTCACTGTCTCTGAAATATAATAGCCACTACCAGATTGGGTTGCATTGTCTGAATGTTGGTGTTATAACATCTTGTAATCAGATATGTGACTTGTTAGTGGGGACTAAATATTGGATACATTAAAGGGCCAAATTAGTGACACCTAATAATAAACTAAAACTTGTAGATGATCATATGCCTAGTGCTGAAACTATTTGTCAATCAATGTATCCACTATTACTCGATGGACGGAAAGATAATACATTAATAACCTTCTAACTATTTTTTATTTTATTTTTTACAAAACTTAGAAATATTCTCAGATTCTAGCTGAGTCATGTGATAAGAAACTTTGGTCCTAATCCTCCAGACATGTTTTTCAATTAAAAAAAATCTGCTGCTGGATACAAGGTGGCCCCCTCTTCAATGAAAAGTCCAATTGTTTGAAAACAGTCTTTAAATGTCAAACTCAGACAAAAAACAAGTCCAATACCATCATCTTGAACATTAGGGACATGTTATGCATACTTATCACTATCATGTTATGTGCAAAACAATTCAACACTAACAATTCTGCAGTTTAATTCACAATGTAAGTGATTGTTGGCTGCATTCAAATGGGATGTTATCTACTTTTCATCCAAGCTAAGTCAATTCTAAATTAGAATTGACTTAGCTTAACTGAAGCCCTTTGAGGAACATTTGGGAAGAAAATGCAGCACAAATAAACAATATTTATCAGGACAATAATAGGGGAACTGAGGAGAGATCCCTCTTTCAGGATGTACGGATGTGCAGAGGTGCCAAATGTAAAGAAAATAGTGGAAGGAAATGATCATTTAAATGTTTAAGTTGCTGCCAAGCTCTTGTCAGATTTGGAGCACAACCCCTCCTCTTCACCACAACAAGCCGTAAAGAAGACATACTCTATTCATTCTCTGTGTTGCTATCACACTTTGTTGCCTTACCTTTTGATTAAATTGTTTTTCTTGATTTATTTTCAATTAATTATTTCCCTTCCATCCAGTTGTCCCACAAAGCCAGCAAGTGCTCTCCGGCTCAAATCCGCCGCCTAGCCTCTCAGGTGGATGGGACCCGCCTGTGGGAGACCCACCTGAGGCCCATCCTAATCGAGAGGCTCCCAGGGACTCAGGGCAGCCTGGCTGTGCAGCAGGTGTATAAAAATGTATAGTTTCCTACTCTTTACATATTTTCCTCACTCGCCTCTAACCCGCCCTCTCTGCTCAGCACATCACCTCCACTCTGTCCTCGCTGTCTGCCGGCTGGGCCGTAGACTTGGACTCCTTCCAGTCCGTGACCCCCCGGGGCCAGGTCCCCTTCACCAACATCGTTGCCACTCTGGATCCTTCGGCCCCTCGCAGGCTGCTCCTGGCCTGCCACTACGACTCCAAGGCCCTGCCTCCAGACCCCCGGGCCCCAGAGAAGGTGTTTCTGGGGGCCAGTGACTCGGCCGTGCCCTGTGCTATGATGCTGGAGCTCGTCACCTCTCTGGATGCCCAGCTTTCATCGTTCAAACAGCAGGTGTGTGCAAAGTTGTGTCTTGCTACATGTGTGTTGATGTCCAGTATATTTGCATTTACATTACACAATGTGACATTTTAAAAGTAATGATTTTGCAATTAAATTAATGTTCCCTGTCAGTGTTTATGATGTGTCTGGATATTACTGCTGCATGAATGTGTAAGTTGCATTTGACCTCTGTTGGTGATTAACATTTACTTTTCCGCAACAAAAATAATGTGAGGTAACGGTTCCGGTAGTTTAATCTGATACAATGCATCATATTCCACAAGATCATCATATTATTTGACTGTTTCTGTCCTGTGAGTGCAACGTATCTCTGGAAAAACATTGAATCATTTCAGCTTTGTGACAATACATGTGCCAGCTAATCAAAGAGGGTTTTTTAAATAGTTTATACTGAAGTATGACCTTTTTTTTTACTCATTAAGGAACAAACCATCCTTCAGTTTATCACAAACGTTAAAATTGACACACCTGGAAATACATGGTTTCATTGGACAGGATAAAAAATGTAATCTTGATTTTGTATTTTAGTACATGACATGAGTTAATCTACGTGGTTACATTCAACCACTGCAATGTGCAGTGTTTACACTCATGATATAGATACAGGCTGGAGCAGATGTTGACAAATTAGCTTTCCTATTTTACTGTAAAAATTATTTGACACAGAGAAAATTAGATGGTGATAATAATGACTTGTATTTTCCCTTTTTCTTTTATACTCTAATTGTATCCCTCTGCCTCTGTGCCTGCAGTACAGGATAAGCAAATGCTGACTCCAGCTGCTTGTGTTCTTTGCAGCAGTCATCTGTAAATAGCAGTCTGCCTCCAGAGGCTGTGATTGATGTAGTTACTAAAGGAATACACACTGCGACATCTCTGCAGGAAGAGAAACTGGCTTCATTTGCTGCTATTTGTAAAGTCAATTTAAATGTATTTCTTCCCTCTTTCTCCAAGAAACTTCCAGTGTCCCTTCAGCTGGTGTTTTTCGATGGGGAGGAGTCGTTTGAAGAGTGGACGCCCACAGACTCGCTGTACGGGTCCCGTCACCTGGCCGAGCGCATGGCCAACACGCCTCACCCTGCAGGGTCCACACACACCACCATGCTCCAGGCTGTGGTGAGAAACAGACACTCTCGTCCTTCAGGGTCTTACTCACATCCTGACACAGACACACTCTCAATTATGTATGAGCAGGCTGGATTTAGCAGACTGCCTAAACAGAGCCCATTTTAAACTTGACAATAGCAGCAGTGTCTGTATGCAACCACTGACTAAAACTAAATTACAAGGATCATTCAGACTTGCATTCCTTTTTTCCCTTTTTTGTGAACTTGGTATCTCAGGAATGTCTAAAGGAATTTTCCTCACATTTATCAGAGACGACCACTTAGCCCCAACGATGAACTGATTAGATTATGGAGGTCAAAGGTCAATGTCGTTGCGACCTCTCAAAACACTTTTCTTCAAGAATTATTATGAGGATTATGATAATTTTACACAAATGTCTAATTGTGGATAAAATGATTATGTTCTTTTAGAAAGAAATGGATGTAAACTGTAACTTTACCGATTGGCGGGGTATGCATTTTATGTGTTCATCAACATTTCCTGAACAATGATTTAAAAGTAAGTGAACTAAAGATTCAGTAGTTGTTTTAACTTGCATCTTCCTCTCTAGGACCTCTTTGTGCTTCTAGACCTGCTCGGTGGTTCTGATCCTCTGATAGTGAATCACTTTGATAACACCGCTCGCTGGTTCGACCGTCTGATCGCTGCAGGTAAGCATCGGCTGTAATTATTCTTATGAATATTTCAAATCTAGTCTGTTGGAGGACCTAACTCTGTCTTCACCCCCTGTGTTCTAAGAGAAGAGACTCCATCGCCAGGGTCTCTTGACCTCTCACCCCTCAGAGCAGACGTATTTCAGAAAGGATGTTTACCTCGGCCCTGTGCAGGACGACCACATCCCCTTCCTACACAAAGGTCAGTGATAACACATGTTCATAACATGCTGTCAGTGATCATTATATTAATAATAACTATATGTTTATAACAGAATAAGTAAGTAGTAGAATAACCATAGGCGATATAAAAACATGAATCAAAAAAGCTGAACAAAAGCTAAACAAACTAAGGGAAATCATTCAAACATCAAAACACAAAAGATAGCAGTGACTAGACAAATTATTATAAAAGATAATGATAAAACATTGTAAATAAACAGGATTATATATTAGAATAATACAATTTAGGAAATCCAACATCATATAAAAGCAAATCTAGGGGGTTTTCTTTTTATAAAGGCTAAATTTGATCACACTTCAGACTTTGTCCTTTTCAAAGGCAGAACATTCTCTGAAGCGCTGTCACAGCATTCACACAAACTCACGTGGAAGTTTGAAACAGTAACACTAACCATTGGAAATATTATTGTGAAACCGGTAACTGTTTCATGTCTAGTTGGAGGCCAGAGTGACTTTTGGTTAATGCAAGAAAGGAGTAAAAGTAGTCAAGCCTAGACAAAATAAATGCTTGAATTTATTTTTTCTGGTCAGTGTAAGAACATTAGTTTTAATTCTGGAGTTAGTTCTTATTTCAAAAAAGCAGGACTAGACAACCTTTTTTTGATCAGCCCTCTCTTTTCTCCCTCTCCACACACAAAAAACAGGCGTCCCTGTGCTACACGTCATCGCCACTCCCTTCCCTCGGTTCTGGCACACACTGGACGACACCGAGGAGAACATGCACCGCCCCACTGTGGTGAACCTGACCAAGATCATGGCTGTGTTTCTGGCAGAATATCTGGGCTTCTGAACACAAAACCCTGACCAATAGCCGCACTGGAGTACTGGTGCGGTTTGACAAATAATTGCTAAATAACCAGCATGAAATGGATCCAAATGCACAAGAGCTGAACCTGGTGAAATGAACTGAACTGTTGTGTTATCAGTGTACCAGGATACCAGCTAAAACTTTACCAAAGACTTGGCCCGGCTAGACCAACTCCTGTCCTGATGTCTGGGATGTGATGTGTATAGACAGTCTTTATTCTACTTGTTGAAAGGTGGTTGGATCATGGTACCGGAGGAACAGTTGGGAAAGTTAATCTGTGAATCTTAATTATTCTTCATTCCTGTGAAAAAATAGATCATGCCTTTTTAAAGGTATACTATGCAGGATTTTCATTTTAACAAATGTGAATATACCCTCACTAAATAATCTGTTGCAATCATTACTTATGACTCGATAGCATTGTGTCTATCCGTCTCTCTCCTCTGCTATGCGTCATGGATGCAGAGCAGAAAGGCCACAGCAGCCGAATATAAGGTGCTTTTTGACTGCATTCACAAACAATTCAGCAATCTAGGTTATGTTTATTTGTACCCTAAATCTGCAAAAGAAAAAACCAGAAGTGACCAATTCTTCCTCAGATACCTTGCTTCCTGCAAACATCGCTTACTCTCTCTTTTGTTGAGTTGGGGAGGAGGCACCGGCTTTGAAAGATGTGTTTAGAAACAGCAAACAACAATTCCTGCATAGTATACCTTTAAAAATAATTGCCCTGTTAATGCGATTGAGATGAGTACACTGGTTCATGTCTGTGAATAATTATTTACCTCCACTTACCTGAGGATCCTCTTCGCCTTACGACCTGCTGTTATTAAATGCTATATTATATGGCTATACAGCGAATGTGTGAAGGTGTTATTACAGTGAACAAGATCCAGCAAATATGTACTTACACCATGTACAAGGCGTGGTCTGCAAATAAAGCTCTAATGATTTGGAAGATTTGTCTTCGACCTTGATGCGATTATATGAATTGAAAAGAACATGGGAAAATGCTGTTTGTGTAAGTAGTACATGGGGAAATTTTTCCAGTAGCATCCCTTCTTATCTTTCCTTTATGATGTTAAAGAAGAACGTCTGCTAAGTCATGTTTTGGTAACAAACTTTACTTGCTAAGTATTTGTTTTATGGACACCAGAAAAAAGAATTTACATTTCAGTCGAAGCAAACTGTTAAGTTATAAAAAAATGAAAATGAAACACTTGAATGGCAGACTCAGTGGAGGCCTCCACATATGTGACGTAGAGGAGGTGGTGGGTGAGAGATGGGAGGAGTAGGAGGAGGAGGAGGAGGAGGGGGGCGATGGTGTAGGGGTAGTGGGCTCCCTGGAGGTGAACAGTCGTTGTCAGAGGAAGGGTCCCCTTCTCCTGAGGTCCCTCCAGAGCAAGATATTTGAAAACTGAGGGAAGAGATGAGGAGAATCTAAATCAGATCACATGTTGATGATGCATCATGTCTTAATTGAACCACAAGGGGACACTGTTGTTCTTTGTAAAAAGATACTCAATGTTTTCTACAGAAAGTTACAGATTGTTCAGTTTTTACATTATCTCAGATTGTTTAAAATTGACATTTAACCACATTTTTTCAATATAGATTATTAAAGTGTTAAGTTAGAGTGTTAAAATACCTGAGATCAAAAACTGCTAAAAACAAGGTGGGCATTATGTGAGTAACAGTGTCATCATTTATTGAAAGAGACATTACTCATTACATGCATTTGGAGCACCAAAAGCCAACTAGCTTAATTATAATTGAGAGAAGTTAGACATCTCCAAGGTCAATATCTTAAACAATCTGCAACTCACACCAATCTAATAAAAAGCACTACAAGTCAAATCAGATCTAAGTGCTGATTTAGGTATACCAGGCCACTAATTAACTTTTTTTGAGATGCATTATTTGAAATAGTTTGCAGGACTACAATGGCAGATATGGGCTTCTGTACGCAAGACCTTTAAATATTCAAACTATAAACAACTGCTGCTCCGTCACTGACCCCTGCAGGTCCGGGGCCCGGTCCCTCTGCCTGTGGTTCTTGAACCAGTTGCTGACCTGGGTGGTGGTCAGGCCGGTGGCCGCTACCAGCTGCCGCTTCTCCCAGCTAGAGGGATAGGGTTTATAGTGGTACCACTGACGGAGTATACCCCGTGATTTCTCCTGTAAGTATGTTAAACAAATAAAGTGAGGCCTGGACATGTTTAATAATAATAAAACAATAACACATTTCAAACACAAAGACATACAAACAATTGGGATGGCTCTTTTAAAACCAGAGATCAGCCCAACTAGCTACATCTGAAGTTTAGATGTTAGCAAATGTAGCCTATCACTTAAACACTACAGAAAACCTTTTTAAATGACATGACTTTCTAAGTTTTCCATTCAACACTTGCTCATGAAAATGTGTTGTTTAGTAAAGTTGAATGGTAGCCAGTTAAAAATGTTTCACGTTGGACCTTTTAACCATTGTACAGTAACTTCTATAGTTTTGGAAGAGTTAGTCAGATTGGTGCTCAGATAAAGGTAAAATAGCTCCACTAAAGTATGAAAACACATTACAGTTTAAGTCCTGTAGAAGTGAAGTATCACCACTAAAATATATTTTAATTAACAAAATGTCTGTCTATAAACAAAATTATTTGTATAAGGTAGGCTACTTATATCAGCACTTCAAGTTAGTTGGATGATATGGAGCATACTTTAGGTATTAGTAAAACTGTGCTGACAGTAGGCACAGTAGGCCTGGAGTAAATAAGTTACCTATCCAAACTGTTGTTAGATTGTTAGTTTCACAGCTAGTCAGAACTCATTAATGTGTCTAACAATGTAGCACCAGTAGAAAGCTACATTAAAAGTTGGGGCACACATGAAGAATACCTTAAAACAGTAGCTGGTCTCCTCTCCGTCCCAGATGGTGTGTGGTAGAGGGAACTTCCTCCTGACACGATACTTCCCCACTGCCCCCAGGGGTCGGCCCCTCTGCCTCTCGGCCTCCACATAGTGGGCTCTGAGCCAGAGCTGCTGCAGGAGCGCGTGGCTGCGTGGGGAAAAGGGGAAGCCCTCCAGCAGGGTGTAGAGGTCAGTGAAGCGGCCCTGGTGAAACGCCACTGCAGCTTTAGCCTTCAGCACACTCTCCAGCTTCCCAGGGCAGAAGGAGGAGAATGAGGAGGAGAGGGAAGGAGGAGGAAGAGTATGAAGAAAGCCAGCAAAACGATCCATGCAACCGCTCTGCAGGAGGACCTCACACATGCATGCAACCTGCTCTGCTGTGAAAATCATTGCAGTGGAAACTGGTCCAAGTCTGTGAGTACAACAAAAGGATGTGTGAGGATGTCTTCTAACAACCTCTAAAGTCCGTTGATGAAAGAGTGAATGTGTGTTTATCATTTCTCATCATGTCCGGGCAGAACCGAATCGCAGGTAACCAGAGATGATGCAGGCTGTAACAACAAACCATGCACTCCTCCTTCTCTTGAAAAAACACAAGCATGCACAGCCTCACACACACTTTGGATTTGTTTTTGTTCTGGCATTCACCCACAGACAGACTAGAGTGGTTCTGCCATGCAGACAAAACACTCATTTGAATAACATTTTCCTGCCAAATTAGAAGCAAAATCCTCAGACGAATAGTTTAAGCCGACAATAATTCAGTTTCCAGCACACGCACAATAATAAAAGCTGAACCTTTTTTTTGTAAATGTAGTTTATTACAATATAATGTAATATAAAAAATAGAATGCATTTTAATACAAAAACAAGAACCTTGAAAGCCTGACACAAACAAATCCCTTTCACAACTATCATAACATGTTATCTTTGGTTATATCTGGAGTCATATATGTGTCATGTAGGAGACGATAAAAACACGCCCAGGCTACAAACAAACGGGTACAAATGTGCGTAAGCCCACAAAGGCTTCAATCTTTACAAACTTTGGTAATAAATGGCTCATAATAGCAAACGCAGGCTGCCATATTTTACATATAAAGACACAATTCCCTTTACCCCGAAATTTCAGTAAAATGCATAATAAAATTGATTTGTCCAAGCCATTTGATAATCTACCTTAAAGGTCACTGGGAACAAAATACATTTACATGTATTAACAAGGGTTGACCTAGTGTATTTAAAAATGTCCCTCAAATTGATTTCATACCTATAGTCTAAGATTGTAAAACCTCCATTGCACAACAATGTGGCCTTCCAAGGGCATTACTTCCTATCTGCGTTTTTCCAACAAGGAGTCATTTTCTTACTGATTGATACATGCTTTAAATAGATTCAAATGTACAAAAAATACATACAAAAACATACATATAGAAAATACAACACAAAGGGCCTTATTGTAACTAGATGAGACACTGAAGTGAATTCTGTGTACCATAATTGGCCAAAGAGTTTGGCCGCTACCTGTGTTATTATGAAAGTGGAAAGCTCGTATAATACGATTAGTGTATTTATCAGTATCAAGGTGTGGTATTAAAGTCCATTTAAGAGGATCATATTTGGATTTTTAAAAAGGGCATTTCAGAACATAATGAGTCGAGCCACTGTCATAACAACACAGCAGCGCAGCGTAAACATGGTGTGAATGAAAGGTGCAAAATATACAAATAGAGGAGATCGAGCTATGAGACCAAAACTGTCACATTGACTCTCACTGGAGATCAGACACTTATGTGGATATTCAAAAAAAGTCATAAAGTGAATCCCATAATTTGGACGGGTGTATAGCACTTAAACTGTTAAATGTCAAAACGTATCTTTTCAAAAACATCAAACCTGTAAGTTATCAAATAAGGCACTTATCAATATCAACTAGCTGAATTTGGATACATGTAAGGGATCACAGCAAATCTTTAGTGTCATGCTTCCTTTAAAAACATTATTCAAAAAGCTTTTTTTCGTCTCCCAAGTGTACTGGCTTTCAACTGAGTCATTATGGTACATACAATCTGATAAAAAAAACTAAACATGCATCGCATAGAGCATAGACCCTTTTATTTTCCATGTTATTGCTTTACTAATGGAGGGCATTCTCACTGAAAAACTGCAGAACATGATTTAAAACAGATTTGACTGATAAAATGCAGTTAGACAGCATGTTTCAGCCCGGGCTCAGTAACTTGTAATATAAAATACTGCTGTATAGCCCCATCGAAGCACAAAAACGTATTTAAGTTCCTTTTTGCGAGGAATATTCTATATTCCTGGAGTGTTGGAAGAATAAGCCCTGAATCTCTTTGTCAGATTGTCCATGTATAGTTGCTGTGTTGGATCCACAACAAACTACTTATACTGCCAGCAAAATCCATATTTTCCAAGTACAGCTGAACTCTGAGTGTTATCCACAAAACTGTGAGGAAGAGCTGAGAAAAAAGGCTAAGCCGCAACGCCTTGCATAAAATTGTCTTTTCGTGTTTAACACCAGGACGTGTACCTGGGCACGCAGATCAACATGTATTTGTTCTTCTGTCTGCGTCTGATAACAGATAAGGCACGTGTGGATTTTTGTAAAAAGAATCGAGACACATGAGAACATTCCATATAACCCTGCCCATCGAGGAAGTAGAGCTGCAGAGGATTAATCTCAAAAGTGCCAGCTAAGTCCATGTTGGTATCAGGCCCCTGTGAGAGCGTCATCGCGGTACCGTCAGTACCTGAACATTTTAAAATAACATTTGGCATATTCTTCTATCTGCTGTATGTTTTATAGTTTTTGTTCTTTTTGAGACACTGGGTTGCGACCAGCAGAGTAAACAGACTACAAGCCCAGGTCATCATCCACAGGGACGGACTGCAGCTGAGTGAGTATCTTGGTGTCCCCGTCCATCTCCTCTGGATCCCCCAGAGCAGAGCTGGTTTCCACATCCTGCTCCGACGAGGGGCTTCCCTGGAGCAGCGACTCTCCTCCAGGAAGCCCCAACAGAGCCGGGTCGACATGTAGGTCCCCCTTTCCGCGGACATCAAACAGAGTTAGACTAGCTGACGTGGAGAGGGGCATGGGGCTCCAGGCAGGCTGGGACAGCTGGATGTTGGGTGTCCCCCCACTGTACATGGGACTGAAGGTAAGCATACTCTCTGGAGTGAGAGTGTTTGGAGCTGTAGAGGTGACTGTATGATCTAAAGCCGGGATGGAGGGTGTCCCCATCTCTGGAGCACAGTACGGTGGAGAAGAGTTGATGAAGTTTAGGGTGGATGATGTAAAGTGGGTCGGGCCTGAGGTGGAAGAGACTACAGGAGGGGTGGAGGGGGTGAGAAGTTGACTCAGTCCATTTGCATAGATGGGTGACGCCTCCGGGACCGGTTTCAGTGGCAGGCTGGTGAGCTGGATGCCGGCTGGGATGGTCAGGATCAGTTTGCCTTCGTGGACACTCAGGTAAGGGCTCCCACCGAGCAGAAGGTTACCTGTGGTGGTGAGGAAGGATGAAATGACAGCAATAAGGACAGAGTAACAACATCCAAAAAAGCAACGCAGCAGTTAAGCACCTTAGGAAATATTCTGTAAGTCTTGGTTATTTATCTCTATAGTCATTCATACTGTTTTGGGTCAGAAGATATTTGTCAGATTGTTTCCTGAGTGCATTATCTTACAGTCATATAGATAAAATAGCCCATTGTTTTTAAACATACTCTATACATCATGCCACAATTTGAGAATACTTTAGTTCGATTAGTTAGCTGTTTTGTAATGGTTGATTCAGCAGTGGTTATTCCATTATTCAACTGTTTTATCTCCAAATCTTATATTCAGTTTTATATCAATCTGTCAGAAAAACATAAAATCCTAAAAGCAGGGATTTTTTTTTTTCAATGTTGATTGACTTTTTTTTAAAAAAACTGTTAAAATAAATAAATCGCTGAGTCATTTTTGTAGTTTGGCTAACTGTTATGTGCTCTGTTGCTACATGTATTAATGAATTCAGTGTACCTGGAGCAGCAGAGGGCAGCTGAATGATCCCAGAGTTGAGGAGCTGCACACCCGGGGCCATGCTGGTTTGGTGACCCACATTCTGCAGGGGCCTCAGCTGGTTTATCCTAAGAGGCCCCTGAGCGACCCCTCCATGAGCTGAGGTCAGGATCTGTAAGGGCAGTCCAGCAGAGGGGATGGACAGAGAAGGACTGGCAGGAACCACTTGGGGGAAAGAGATGGAGGAGGAAGTTTGAATGGGGGAGACGGGGATCAGCTGAGGCATGGAGAGGGGGACTAACTGTGCTGCTGTGGAGGCTTTGGGCACTACTTGTGTCGGGGAAGAAATGGATATAAGCTGTGGGACCTGGATTGTGCTCGTAGAGGAGTTTGTGCTTTGTTGGAGCTGATTGTTAAGCTGTGAGATAGAGACTATAGTGGTGGCACCTTCAGGCAGAGTACTTAAAGCATCCTGTTGCAGTCTGGTGCTAGTGTTCACTGTGTGGTTTAGGAACTGAGAAGCTGATGAGGTGAGGGAGGAAACTGGGACTAACTGAGGGCATTGGGACACTGTGGCTCCTGAAGAGTGCTGCACCAGCTGAGACACTGGGATACCCTGGATGGAAGGCACGACCTGGGGCAGAGAGAAGACCTGAGGGGAGCAGCTGCTGCTGGAAACCAAAGAGCTAGAAGGGTTTAAGTGGGAGCCAGCGGAGGTAAAAACAACATACTCCCCATGCTGACTGGAGAACGGCAGGGCAGAACTGGAGATCACCATGCCTGCGGACGACATGGAGACCGGGAGAGACTCGTGGCGCTGGGGGATTTGTGCTAAGACTAGTGAGGGGAGACTGGTGGGGGAGGACAGAGTTGGTGAGGAAGGAGATAAAGATGAAGAAGAGGAAGATACTGTCTGGATGCTGCCCTCTGATTCAGGGACGCTGATGAAATTCATTGCATTGCCGCCGTCTGTTTTGGTTTGCAGGGGAAGAGAGATGACGGAGACCGGGGAGGTGTTAGTGCTAAGAAGACTGCTCTGCTTGGCCTCCATGGACAAAACCTCCTGCGGTGTGATGGAAATAGTTTGCTGCTGATGCAGACTAGTTTTGGTTATTACCTGAGCCCCGTTCAGAATCAAAGGAGAGTTGGATCCAACAGGACTCAGTGTGACTGTCTGGCAATCGCCCAAGCTCAGCCCGTTAATTATGACACCAGCACCAGTACTGGAGAGGATGGAATTTCCATTAAGTAGTAACGGCTGAGAGGCTGTGAGGAAGCCACCGGACCCGTTGAGGAAGAGCTGGCCCCCGGCGCTGCAGGGGACGGCGGAGAGAGAGATGATGGAGGCCGTGGAACTGGAAACCTCCTCTGGTTTGTCAGGGCCGTCGTCCATGGGGCTCCCCTCGTCATCGGTGCTGTGGTTCCCATCAGATTCACTGGACCGGAGCAGGAACAAATGGGTCAAATTAAAAGAGAAATGTCTGAGGCAACTGAGAGGGTTGGGCAACAGGATTTAGTCAAGTGCACAACTTGAACACACAAACACTTAATCCATTTATTGCATTTGTACTGTTCTGATCCCTTTAATGAGTTCATTTTATTACATACGTAATCTATGTTTTAAAACCCTAATTTCTATTCAGGGAACTCATTTCACTCACAGGTTTTAATGGATTATGCATTGTTAGACCTGGATTATTTAAATATGTGTATAAGAGAAAAGGCAGAGATGCTTGTACTGAACTATAGCTCCTAAACTCCATCAGACTGAAAACATTTTAACAATACAACATCAGTATCAGGCCTCATCTTGCATCATGACATCTGGTTGTGCAACTCTACTTTTGAATGTATTTACAGCGATGGTAGACAGATTAGAGTTTGAAATGTACATTACTGTGAATAACATTTGAAATGTGCCTTATGTTTATCAGTTATATTGAAATACTGACTAAAAATGTTACTCACTCAAAAGTTGTCCTTATTCCAACTTTTACACATTTAAACTTTTCAAATATCCCTCATCTCTAATGAATTAACCAATACATTACATCAGGCTTCTTAAAAGATTATTACATGTTCATGACTAGGTCCATTATTTATCTGCAACTGATTTAAAAATATTGACTTTCTAAACACCCCTTAGTTGAATTGCAAAATGTTGGGAAAGTACACCAAAAATAGAATTATGTTTGCATTCAAACTAGGGACAAAACTTGTATTGTTGTGTGTTGCAGTGTACTTTAATGTGCAAATTGCTTGTATGTGCAATATATACAACAAACCAAATTCTGGTTCTGGTTAAAGAATAACTTTTTCAATTGTTAGCTTGCTCACACTGGCGTATAGTATTCTGTATTTGTCTGGATCCAACTCAACCTTTTCTGGTCATTGTATTATCTTATCTTATCTACAAAACTGACCATACTCTGTGGTGAATCCGGGATATTCCTAACAACTATTTTAACCGAGTGTTTGCTTGGTTTGTGTGGTCAACCATACAGATTGTGTGCCAGACCACTAAGCCTGTGATAAGATAAGTATGCTGTATTATCTCTTATCTCCTCACGATTTACCATCTCCCCCTGCTTTGTGAATAAGTAGCTGTAAAACTGAGGTTTCCCCCAGCCTACATAGCACCCCCCACATTCACTGGTTAAAGCATTTACTCTCACCCCGTCACCCTACAGGCCCTATGCAGCGGTGCAGGATTTCAGGAAACTTGAGCCATGATGGGCGCCTGGATCTCACATTTCATAACAAAGCAACATGCTCCTGGTCTCGGACCTGTGTGGCTTTACTGCTGTCAAAAGTCAGCTCCCCCGGCCATTATCTTACTTCATGCATTTTATAAAAGTTCTTAAATACGTTTCTTTTTACTGACGTTTGAGGTTTACATGGTCTTTCTACTCTGCCCTTTGTAGGCCTGCATGTCTTTGTTTTACTATGAAGGTCTGGTGCGTTCAGTAACTGTTTTTGAGTGATTGTTAATCTCTAAAAACACTACACAAAGCAACCAGCCGCTCTCAAAACAAAAAAGGGAATGTCACCCGTCTACTGGATAATGACTTTTGAATTACTCCCTCGGTTGAGACTAGACTCATGGGTTAACATTGTTTCCAGTGCTGTTGGGTTATCTAAACTTGCCTTTTGCTGTGTGTCCCGGACGGGGTCCTGTCCCTCTGCCTGCGGTTCTTGAACCAGTTGCTGACCTGGGTGAGGGACAGTCCGGTTACTTTGGCCAGGTTTTTCTTCTCGTCCGGAGTGGGGTACCTGTTGCTCTTATAGCAATCTTTCAGGGCATTTCTGGACTTTTCTTTAAAGCAGTACACGGTCTCCTCTCCGTCCCAGATGGTTTTGGGAAGGGGGAACTTCTTCCTGAGCCGGTACTTGTCCACTGCGCCCAGGCTGCGGCCCCGCGACCTCTCCGCCTCCTTGTAGCGGGCTTTCAGGTACAGGTCCTGCAGGAACCCATGGTTAGACGGGTGGAAGGCGTAGCTATCCAGGATGGCGTACAGCTCCTTGAATTCGTCACGGTGGAAAGCCACCAGTGCCTGGGCCTTCAGCATGGTCTCGTTGCCACGTAGCAGCTCGGACGAAGGAGGTATGGTGGAAAGAAATCTCCACAGGCGATTCACATTGCCCGCCTGCAGGAGGGCCTCGCACAGACATGATACTTGGTCAGTGGAAAAACTCAAAGACGAGTTTTGGAAACTTTGGAGCAATTGTTCCGAAATGTGCACCGGATCTTTATCTTCTTTGAACTCCGTGGCCGTCGGCTCCTCTGGGCTGTTCTCGGATTGTTCTGTAGACTCCAAAGACAAGGAAGCCATTTTTACTTTAACTTTTTTTCCTCCAGTAGTTCCTCCTCCTCTCTCTCCCTCCCTCCCTCGTAGCGAAGCACTCTCTCCCGGTCTCTGCCAAACCACCAACGTGCCTGCAAATAACAACAGCCACGCCCCTTGTCTGTCTTTTGTTCAAAGTAACTTTATATATGTCACCAATTAACATATTGCGGAACTTAAGACTGCAGTATGCTTATACTCGATAATAAACAAAACTACTAGACCCCCACCTCCTTTAATTAAATGCTGGAAGTCAGTGGTGGAAAATGACAAAAGTACATTTACTCAAGCACTGTACTTAATTACACTTTTGAGAGACTTATACTTTACTTAAGTAATTCAATGTTCACTACTTTGTTCTTCTACCCCACCACAATTCAGAGGTAAATAATGTACGTTTACTCCACTACATTTATCCTTGAGTTACTTTGCAGATTTTGATTGAAATATAGAAAACACTTTAACAAGACTTTAGTTAAACCTGGAGTAACATTCACAAGCTACCCTGCAGCATCAGTGTGCCTGGCCTGGGAGGTCTCTAATGCAAATACTGTACCAACATGCTAGCTATCATTTGCATTTGTGACGTACGTGCTTCATTTTTTTAAAAAGATTTGCATCATGCTCAGGTCATTATAGTGGCAATTTCACTCTGTATTTAATAAAGAAAAAACTATAATTTACTCAAATAACTTTCTGTGTGGGGGGAAATTATTTGGCTGTATTGCATGTTAGTGCATCAATGACTTACCAGTTATCTCCCACTCAAAAACAGAAAGTTTATGATTATATGCACATGCCTTAACCTTAATCCTAGTTAATGATAAACTGTTTGTCAGACACCGAATTGTGCTTTTAATATGTGTCTCAAATATGTGAGCATGGCCAGCAGATACTTTGAATGAGGCAGGGTTGTCTCCATCATCAACAACCAAAGGAATGTAAATCCTCGCTGTGGGACTGTGGGATGTCTCAGCCCCCCTCTGCCCCTCCTTCTCCGGGGTTTGGTTGTCTCATATTTCTTTGATCTCATCTTTTCTGCCCATACATGCTCTGTTATCTGTGTTCAATGAATACTTTGGTCCACCGAAATATGTCCATGATTAATGAAAAGGTCCATTTTATTTCTAGCAGGGATTTTTTTCATATATTGTCAAATGTTCTATCAAACATCCAGCATGACAAAGTTAGAAATAGTTTTAGGAAATGGACAAATGGAGGATTTACAGCTCAAGCCTGTCCAAACAGGACTGTGGACTACATTTATTTCATAAAATATCAGATGTTGTAATAAAAATGTAGGCTACTTTACAGAAGCCAAAATTACAATGGACCCAGACATGGTGTGGCTTTGCTGGCAATTATTGTTATATAACAGTATCTATTGCCTTAGGTAAAGCTGATTATCAGGTCAAACCCTAAGTAGCAATATTAACTTGTCACACTTTATATTTTGTTATTACATAGTCGTTATTACAAGTTTCTGTTTTATAGCCGGATCGTGTGACTTATGCTTATTATGACACTTGGCTTTATTCCAGTGCAATGATAGATTTATTCTTATCCATGCAAGACTCAAAGCCCCACTGCCAACATTTATATAATAATAATAATAATAATACTAATAAATAAGTCGCTTAATGAATTACAATTTTTTAATTTATACAAATTAAAAGGTAATCGTATATATATTAATTAATTACAAGTTTTTAATTTATACAAATTAAAAGGTAATCGTATATATATATATATATATATATATATATATATATATATATATATAATTAAATATATCAGGTTAAAATCCTAATTGAAAACAAACTCGGTTATCATTTGGGACGTTAATATTCCTATAAAATTAACCTGCGTGGAGTCTCCATGGTTTAAACTGGACGATAGCGCCACAGTATGGTTGTTTCTGTCGCATCACTCCTGCTCCTATCTCGATTGGTTGGCTTCATTTGCTTTCCCTGATGTGATTGGTGGTTTCATGTCTGGGGGGGTGTGGTAGAAGAACGTTCCAGAAATGGGATGTATGAGACCATGATGTAGCAGTTAGTCATCAATTATAATAAAAGTGCTTTACTGGTTTCATTATTTTATTTTAGTCAATAAAACATGCTCTTTTCAAGGGGTCCCTTTTAAAAGTTAGTTAAATACTGATGCTCGTTGAATAAAACAGCGCGCTAATGTGACGTAACGGGGTGGGTCGTCTAGTGGTCACGTGATTTTTGGCGTGGTAAAGCAAGAGAGGTATCTAAACCGTACACATCTTGCTGCGATACTCCTGTTACTCAAGAAGGGATACTCTGGTCATTTGCTTCAAACTTCTAGAAAAATACCCCTTTTTTAAGTAAGTATGGCAGAATTACTTTATATTGTAGCGTGTTTATGGTATCCAACGTGACTCTGCTGTTGCTAGCCATTCTAACAGAAGGTGGCTAGCTACACGAGCCATTCTAACCATTCTAACAGAAGGTGGATAGCTAATGTAAACTAGCTAACGTTAGCTAAAATACAAACGATATTAAATGATGAAAGGTCTTAAAGTGTATAAACATGAGCAACAAAGATGGTAATTGACCAAAGTTAAACGTGTAACTTCAAAATGCTGTGTAACACTAAGTGGTAAACTACTAGTAAGAGGTAGGGCGGGTAATTTATTTTAGACACGTTTTGTTATATTTGTTGAAATGCTCATTACATCCCTACAGAGATAGAAACATATATTACCCTGACAAACAACATGATACAAACATATCCTTATCTTTCCTAGTCGGAGGAGTTTAATTTATACTGCGACGTTACCCGTTGCGCATCACTACAGTGTTACCCTAGTTGACAGCTGTGCTCCTATCCCAGGATGCATTGCTGGGGGTAAAAGAGCAACAATTTAAGACGACCTGTGAGTGGGCAACCCTTTGATCCTCGTTATGGTTGTCTTTGTAATCATATCTTAACATTTTATTTATAGCGAACACTGTTTGTGTGTGTGAGAGAGAACAACTACTGTGTAGGTACATTTACTATGGTGCTGCAGCATTTGGACATTCTTATTTTCTTGAATATTTTAATGGGTTGCAATTGAATACATTGACTCCACTACAATTTCGCATCTGGCTATACCATGCATGTCATTTGACAAGGGTTAGGATTACAAATGTTGAGATACTGTGGACAAGAGGAAATATTTAAAATATTCTCACATGTACAAAAAACTGTGTTGTACATAAAAATACAATTTTTTTTAAATGAACAATGTACAGTACATGTTTTTGCTAATGACTCACGAGTACTCTCACTTAAGTAATATTTTGAATACAGGACTTTGACTTTAAATGAAGAACTTTTAGACTATGGTTTATTACTTTTACGTGGGTAAACGATCTGCAAACTTGTTCCTCCACTGCTTGCAAATTGCTTCGATGAAAGTTTACTTGCCGTCAGGTTTTAATATTAGGAATTATGCAACATGACACCAGGAAATTACCTTTTAACAGTATTTATACACAACTGTGGGATCAATTTGACTCCTGTTGGCTAACATGTCACATTGTTTGCCTTTTTGTTTTCAGTTTTTGCGGATTCAACCAGCATCATGGACGGCGGAGTGACAGTAGTAACCAATCCTCTTGTGAATGTGCGCCTAACAAGCTCCATCTCCTCCTTCGAGGTGCAGCGCAGGTTCAATAGAGGGATTAGTATAGCAGAACTGAAGGTGAGACTCAGCTTATCACACATTATACATATTTCCTACACTTTGTACTGACATTATTGTTTAATAAAGGCATCTCAGATCGTTATCGGAGACAATAACATCCATCTTGATTGTTTTTATTGAAATTAGGGAAAATTGGAGATGGTTTTGGGTGCAACTCCCTCCTGCATGGACCTGGACTTGTTCAGCGTCTCTGACAAATTCCTGCAGAAAATGGATGACAATGAAGCTTTGCTGGGTTCCTTTCCTGTGGATGATGACTGCAGAATACATGTAGGTAGCTGCTCGGTTTGGAAGATCTTTTAATGTGGTTGTCCAGATCATATTATAGTCAAAAACAGGTAGCTAAATGTATTTGGTTCCAAATCCAATTCTGTTTTCCTGCACCCCTAAAAATATTCACACCAGATAAGATAAGCATTTAACAGAACACATTTCCTGGAGACATTTAAGACAACTTTGCAGTGAAACATTTTCCAACTGGTTTTAACATAAGAACCCATCCATATAGGTTGTGTTAAATAGCACATCAATTATTATACTTTTTACTTTTTTACTTAAAGGTGGGGTAGGTAAGTTTGAGAAACCGGCTCGAGATACACTTTTTGTTATATTCCATGGAATGCTCTTAACATCCTGATAGCAATGAATATCTTAAGTGCTTTGACAAAAAATCCATAAAAAAACGTCATCTGTGGAAGCCGTAGTACTGTAAAAAGCACGACCAATCATCTGAGCCGGCCGGCTAAAATAACTGGATGACCTACCTGCCTGTCAGCCTTCCATCTGTGCACCAACTTATCTCGTGCCCTCATTGGTCATGTGCGCGTTCGTGTGTGTTGGAGGAGGGGCTCTGTAAGGAAGTGGCAGATTTTCTCCGGTCGTGTATTTTCAAATTCTAGCGCACTCGAGCCGGGTTCTCAAACTTACATACCCTACCTTTTAAGTTTACCAACAAGTGCGAGTTTCTAAAACAGTGACCGCTCAAATCTACATTTATATTTCACAATACATTAATTCTGTCAATAGGAAAAGAAAAAGAATGTCATTGTTAAGTTGCTTGTTATAAGCTTAAGTGCTTTACAGTTAATGGCTCACACATGCAAAAATACCCGTGTGGTCTTTTTTCTTTAATTAGCGTCTGTTTTTAATCTTGAATCACAGGTTACCGATACAAGTGGTCAGATGAGCGAGTTCAGTGATGTTTCCAAGGTGGAGAAGTTTGAAATCCCAGAGGACTCTTATGAAAAGAGAACAGGTACAGTCTACATATTTAAGCATCTCTTTACTTTGTCATTATCATAGAATTAACTATTTTTTTCAAATACAATATATTTCCCCCAATTTTGTGCTCAATTGTGGCTAACGCCGCAGCAACGCTTAGCAAAGCTTATCTTGGCTGAATTGATTTGTTGTTAAATATGTCAATCATCTGAAATGAACCATTGTCTATTCATTTAGTGGTTCCAGCCAACTATTGATAAAGCACTTAAGAATGAAACCCATTTATAGCTGCAGCCATAGACAAAAAAAAAGCCTCATCACAGCTTTTATTATTTAGAGATAGTGGTGGTAGTATGCTAACCACTGAAATATGGTAAATACATCATTTGAAGTAGTCTGTTCTTACAATCGAATTTCTTCCTTCAGATTCAGCAAGGTCATTCATGAAGAAACATCGGGTTGGTGTCTATAACGAGGAAGAAATGGCCAAGAAGAAAGCTGACCTTGCTGCTCGGGAGGAGGAGCAGAAAGCTGCTGCTGATGCTATTTCTGTTGGCAGCAGATGCCAAGTGCAGGTCTCAGGGCAACCGACAAAGCTTGGCACCGTCATGTATGTTGGTAAGTGTGGATAAAGCATAGCTTGTTGACTCCCTTTAGGACATCGGTTGGCTGAGTTGTACATCTTTGTGGTGTGTCATAGTAGACTAAGTCCTCTTATACCTCATTCACACCAACGCAACTCCGGTTCAAGCTCCGTGCTAGAGCTTTTCAGGTTCAGAACCGGTTCTTCGGTTTAGCTCCGGCTCTTTTCACACTGCCCAGAGTCCGACTGGTGCTGCGTCATCGTTTGCGTCATTACGTAACCGTTTGCGTGCCTGCTTCATAAAGCCAAACCCAACCGCCGGAAACCCCTCACAGCTGACACCGACAACAACAACAATGGCCGATTGTGCTCCAGCTTCCTCTGTACCTCTTCAGAAGACCAGATTCCCAGTAGGTAGCTGGTCTCTTCAGTGGACCACTGCTGCTTGTGAAGTTTCTCCATCGTTGTGTACAAACTGGATAAAACGCCGGCTTCTTGTTGTTGTTCAGGAGTTGATCCTGCCCCCGCCTCGACGTAAGCATGACGTATGTGGTGCTTTTGCTCTGGCCGGACAATTTTTTGGTGCTTGAAGCGAACCGGATTCCGGATCTAAGAGGCGCTCCGCTGCAGTGTGAACAAGAAAACCCGGTGCTTTTCAAGCTCCAGCTCCGAACCGGCCCTGAAACACCGTTGGTGTGAATGAGATATCTTTCACCTGATTTACTCTGGTTCAAATGAAATCACCCTCAAGCTTTAATTGTGTAACAGTTGTGTTTGCTCAGTACTGAGTCAATACAATTACCTTTTAACAAAAAAACTGTTTTGTTTTTTGTCAGTTTCAGCAAACAATGAACATCGAGAATTCACGATTGTGACATTGTGACGAGTTCCTGCTGTGAATAACTGTTACTTTAATTGCAGGAACAGCAGATTTCAAGCCGGGCTACTGGGTGGGTCTGAAGTACGATGAGCCCATGGGAAAGCATGATGGAACGTAAGAGCACCATTTTTCTTTTATGTTATGCACAATATTGATCATGATGTTCTTGATTTTTGCATTTGACCCTAGCTTTCTTTAAATTGTTTTCCCACAGTGTCAATGGCAAGCAATACTTTGAATGCGAGGACAAATATGGAGGATTTGTGAAGCCCCAAAATGTGACCGTGGGAGACTTTCCTGAGGAGGATTTCGGTATCGATGAGATGTAGGACTGTAATGTGAGTGTTTCTGCCCGGGAATGTGAGTGACGACCTCAAGCTGTTTCCATTCACCGACTAGAGAGGATGCAAAGTCTCTGTCATCATAATAAATGAATTTTAAGTTTTTTGTATTTTTACTTTGTGCCTCTCTGTGGGGCATTATCCAAAGCACGGTGTCTAAAGGTCTGTGATGCTCAGATTCTCTCTCACTACACAACATGAATGAGGAAAATGTCAGGTAGTACATCTCCTGGTTTGCTACATATGAGAATGGTACAGGATAATCACACCAACAACGTCTAATAAAGGGGCTTTGGTTGCATGTATCACAAGGTCAATATGTGGTCATTTATTTCATGCACTTCGGTTTAATTTACTTGCTTTTGCAGTACCTGTTGCTTCCAAATGTTCGGAACATGAGTCATCTTTGTAATCTGAAAGCCTGTATTGACAGTTTTAACACCAATTTAATTTCTCTTCAATGATTTTTGTATCGGTTAGTACAAAGATCATTGTCTATAACTGTTTATATTTGGCTGTTGTCTTTGCATTTTTTTGATGACTGTTATATGCTGAAAGTTATCATAGAAAAAGTCCTCCCTAAAATACTTCAGCATTGACTTATTGAATCTCTTGCCTTGTATTCAAGTCTAACACACAGCATAAACATTTCTCCAATTGAGTAAAATGGAGAATTGTTTCCAATATTTGATTAAAATAAGAGCTTAATCAAACATTTAACCATATTTCAGTCAAGTGGAAAGATCAAGGAATCTCCTCGAACAATAGTCTCAATATTCCATTGTGTAACACAGCTGCTTAGAGCTTCATGTATACAATGTCTGGGAAGAGATTTTTTTAAATGTATAGGGGGATATTTCTCACTAAACAACTCCTAAATTCCTTATATTTCTTTTATCATTTGTATGTAATCTGATTAAACTCATTTTAAGGTTTCCAAATGGATACAATATGTAAATGCCAGTTATATTTCTCGGACTGGATACCTCTTGTCAAAAAATGAAAATGCATGCAATTGAATGTGTCCTGCTCATATTGAACCACTGAAATAAAACCGTATTTTAAGTTTAAATTGTGGGGCTCCAAATGTGAACGATTACAAAACACTTTTGTACGTAAAACTACGAAGTATACAAATGGATGACAACATCTAAGAATAAATGGTAATAAAAACTACATTTTCGAGTCCTCATGTCTCAGACATTTATATTCGAATTAACTATTTATTTAATTTGAAGTCAAACCTAACTTTGTTTTTTGTAATTTATGTAGTTCCATATAAGCCTGACACATTGATTTTCATTCAGTTTAAGTACAATCTTTAGCACTTTCTTTTCATGTCCTTTACAACAGTGTTTTGTTCGGATTGGTTGTTTAAGTGATTTACATTTAGAAGCAAACCTGTGTTTCCCATCTGTAAGTATAAATGTACTTACAGACGGGAAAATGATATGTATTTATAAGTCATATTTTAAAAAATAAGGTAACGGCTACAACTATCACTCAATATAACTCACTCTTCATTGTAATCCCAACACAGCTCTGAAAAAGGAATAATATGCCTTATTTATACTTTTTTTAATTTGACTGTTCCAATACTGTTAACATCTTTTTCATCCTCTCTAGTTTACAGAAGAAATGTTTATTTATTTTTTCAGAAGATATGTGATTACCACTTATACAGAAATGTAGTGTTCTTTTTTTTTTCTAAACTAATCTCTAAAGTGCTTGTGTTACTATGTGCCAAAGGGTAATGCATATTAATAAAAATGATTTGCCAGTACAAAGGTATCAGATTGAGTCAACTTGTCTGTACATGCAGTATGACACTAACAAAACTGAACTATTAACCCACTATATATAACTTGTTTTGCTCAATAAGAACAAGTGCCTTTGTTAAATACAACATTAAACACACTGCCTACACATTACATTCAAGAGAACCGAACAGGGTGCTATTCAGAAAGTATGTAGTGTGCAGAATATTCTGTATTATACAAGTTGTATCATCCGAGTATATTTAAACATACACTTCTCATGCAGAAAGGCCATTGTCTAAATCTTTTTTTAATTATATTACTGAGGATTTCACATTTAATTGGTTGAGGTTGTTTACTTTATATAGTTTGTCTTAACATACAGTGACATGAAAACAGTAAGGTTGGGTTTGTATTTTGCAAATGTTCTGCCACAAATATAGTGTTTTGCTAATCCAATAAGATTTATAGATAGCCAGATCGTTATACAAATTAATGTATGGTTAAATAAAAATCAAACATGAACAAATCAAAAATAAATACACAACAAATTAAATTCCTTATAAACTGCTGCAGTTATTACAATTAACACGTTTTTGCCGTATTTTTAGTGTGTAGGTAGGTTTTATGTATTTTCATTCATTTTTGTCCATTCAAAAATCAAAACATTATATAAAGGTATTAGTATAGTATATAGGTACATATACAGAGTGAAAACATGAATTAAAGAAATATAAATAAAATAGTCATAAAAACAAAAGGTAACATTTCGCTTGGATTGTATGTAGTTCCTTTACATCCCTGAAGACGAATGCCAGAGCGATGACGCTACATACTGTCCTCTCGCGAGAAGCAGCGCATTTTCCCATGCAGCAGCAGTGTGGTGTGTTCGCGATAGAGACAAGGGAAGATGGCGACGCAGGAGAGCGAAGCAGCTCAAGAAATCGTCAGCAACGGCGAGGTAAAAAAATGAATGACACACTTAGTACCTTATTATCTATTTTACGCCCAGGAGAAAGGGCAGTTTTTATGTGTTTGAGAGTGGAGTGAGGGGCCGTTAACATTTAAACGTCTTGCCGATCGGTACACGAGTGACGTTGTCAGTGCCGGTTGGTTTTAAAACGACCCCCTCCTGCCGTTCACCGAGACATCCTGCCTGTTTGCGGATAAATCCTGCCGGTCAGCGGAGTGAGAGCCGAGTTGTTAACGGGGAAATATCACCCGAAGACATACAATTACATAAAAGTGACAAGATAATTAGTTGACTCCATGTGTGTCGGTGTGAGGCTGCTGCAGTGTCAGTTAGCTATCACAAGGCCTGAAGCTTAACAACGCAGCTCGGCTTCTCCTGCCAGGCCGGTCTCAAGCAGCTCACACATCTCTAATTCACGGCGAGCCACCTGCTTCTCCATATACACATATTACAGGGAAACCTTAAAGCTCCATGTTCATTTGGGATGCTACACGGCAAAGCTTTATCTGCCATTTCATCTGGGTAACATTGACAAGTGACAAGAATCAAGTGTAATCGTCGAATTGATTTGGCTAACCCTGGGAAAATGCTCAAATACATTTGTTAAATAACAGTTGTTGGAGTTAATTGGGACGGCATCTCCATCCAGCAATTATTTCCGATTGACAAATGTCACAAGTTACCAGAGGTCATAGTGAATCATCACTTTCCAGAGACAGACCACGGGTCTGTCTTGTCTTGCCTTTTAATTTGAAGTCTGTCACATTATTAACATTTCTAGTGATATAACATATTGACATGATCAGGGAAGAAGATTAGGTAAATATTATGCGTTTTAATCTATTAAGCACAAGACAGACCTGTCATTTGATTATTTTTTTTATCATTTGATTTATGATTTACCAATGGGTCTTTAAATAATTTGGTTAAACTTTTTGGTTTTGGTCTTTTTAAGGTTTAGCTTTTCAATCTAGAATCTAGGTTGTGTTTTTTTGTCCCAGGTCATGCCTCTTATGTCTTTACACTACATTGCAAAGCAGATAAATCTCATAAAAATTAAAGATGGCAGCAAAACCTAGAATTAGGTTAAATAAAGACATGTAGGCCCACTGCTTTTCTACTCAACCATCTGGGTAAACCAATAGCAGATAAAAACGTTCGATTTGTTTTAATACAATTTGAGTGTTTTGTACATTTTGGAAACTCCCTTAAAACAGCAGTAATATGTTATTAAACTACATATTACAAAATGCTTAGCTCTTTGATTCAAATCTAATTATAATACTCAAGTGGCAGAAACTAGGGCAAGGGTTCAACATGCGCGTATTGTCTCTTCTTGTAATGAAATTGCAATGTCTGGATAAATGCATTATTAGTTTACGATGAAGCCATTATGTTCCTCTTGAGGCCCGCTACTGGCGAGTCAGTTGAGAGAAGTGTCTGGTATTAATCTAGTGGGGGAAAATGAATCTGCTTAGTTCTTTTTATGTTCTCAGTTTTGATTTAATAAATCTACTGGGTACAGGTGAAACTTTATTGCGGTGAGCAAAAGACACATGATAAAATCAGTGTTTTCATCTCTAAGATATCATCCATTTTAATTTCCCTTTTACACTAGCCTGATGTGTAAAGACCATCTTCAAAGTTTGAAAATGAGCATTTAGGGATGATCCGACCGATCGAGATCGGCCGATACTCACTCTCTACCGATCGATCGGTGCTCTCTAAACATGCAGATCGCGAGAGCCGATCACATGACTTAAAATACATGACGTAAAATACATGACACTTTTCTCTGTGCGCGACAAAACAAGCTCGCCAAAATGGCTTCACCGGTCTGGCAGTATTTTAAGGTGTGCATTCTAGCTTGCTTCCTGCTGTAGGAGATAGTGTCACCATGTGTGATAAACATTACCAAAGCAATCTTGGCTTCTGTCAAAGACTGACTTATCTAAACTTTTGGCCCTCTTCCTTCCAGACAGGTGTGAAGCATTTGCTCTGCACCTTGAGCAGGTGGTTAATTGTTAATCCTTGCTCAGTGTGTAATATTGTAAATTATTATCTCGAGCTGGAACAGATACCCCTGTTTCTCGTGTTGAGCATATGAATGATCTGTGTGCTTAACGGTTATTACGTTGATCCCTCTAGGAGACAGAGACATACATGTCTCTGCTAATATAATTTGTGTCGTTTAAACAAAACAGGACAAGGCCAGGAAGCATGAAAAGCTCTATTTTGAATCACTGCATGTCCTTGAAATTCAGTTTATGATGGTCCTGGGTTAGTGGCTTATTAGAAAACCTAAACCTTTACAAGGTTCAACCAGTTATTTTTGGCCTTCTCTGCACCGCAATAACCTGCTGAGCGGAAAATACTGTTGTTTCTGGAGGCTAACTTCTGGTCTCCCTTGTGTTCATGACAATGGGGGAGATTAGATGTTTAGATAGGGAAAGAGTCTCCTGACTTGGCTTGTGTATTGTGTCACTTCAATACAATGTGGCCTTGCTGCAGGGGCGTTGGGCCACATTGACATGCTAAAGCAAACCTTTGACAAATTTGACTGATTTCAATAAAATAGTAGAATAGCTTCAGTGCTTCCCCTAGGATGGAGTCATAGCAGCGGTGCTAAGGCCCAGCAAAATGTGAACGCGGAGCGCGTGGAATCTTTTAGTGTGTGCACGTGCGAAGTGCGCCCCGCCAATATGTTTCTAGGTGTCTGCCAGCACAAGAAAGGCTCTTGAGGCCTAGTACATAGAGTGGCAATGTCTCAAGATTTAGCAAAATACACCTTTATTGAACATACAGTACAAATACTACAAATCCACATAACAAACAATCAAAAAGGGTCGCCACTTATTATTATTTAATTTTTGGTACCTGGCTGGCGCCCCCTAGTGGCGGAGCGCATATTTCAGTGCCGCTGCTATTTGTATATGGGGAAACACTGTGCTTGTTTTCTCTGACCAGATCTGTATACATGCAAATGTATTTAACTTACATCAGATAAACCGCAATTCATCATATTGGAGTAGCTGGAATGAGAGAATCTTTGGCATTCAATATTTTTTTCAATTTTCAGTTATTCAAATTGTTCTGTCAAGTCTGATATAATGTGCATCACCGTATCTAAACCTTCGTTTCTTAAAGATGCACAAAATACACCCAGTTTCGCCAGTAAATTGAGGCTTATCTTTCCCCTATTGTTGATATTCTTTTGTTTTATCACCACATTCACTCCTTTTTACTGCCAGTGAAGGTGTTCTTGTTCGATATTGTACTTGATCATGCAATGTCAATGCCCCGCCATCATTGGGATTTCTTTGGGTACACTGACCGTGTGTC